AAGAATCACAGTAAGGAAGACTGAATTATGCAACGTTTTAACATGCTTCCTTGAATACATTTATATTCTGGGCTTGATACTATGAAAAATGTTTGTTGAGGAGTTGATGAAGGATACGGTTACAAAGTAGAATGATTCACGTTATGTTACTATGGTTGCCTATATTTGAAAGTTTAAACAGTGTTGACTGCAACTGTAAATGGTTGGAATGTTTTATCTAATAACTTTAGTCATTTGATATTCGACATTGGATCAAATCAATCTTTGATAACCCTAAGCATGTATAAAAAAGCAATGCAACTTCCATTCGGTCTGCTACAGTATTATGACAAATATTTTTTGATGAGAACCAAAGAAGTTATCAACGTCCCAGATATTAATTACTGTCACTCTTTTCCATATCTTTTTATTATTTACAAGTATCTTAATATAATAAGAAAATATGAGTTCACATTCAGTTATGAAGTACATTTGTAGTATGCAATTGTTAAATATTCATCATAAACTACCTACTTGTTCATGTTCATGTTTATTGCCAGAAAGTACACTAGACAGTACCGGATTAAACAAACAATATGCAATCATTTATTTTAGTTGAAAGTCTCTATTTGAAATCTAGTAGAAACCTCACTTACTTTCTCTGAGAACCTAGGGTTATCTCATCAATAGACTTATACACTACTTCAATTCATATACTGGTACCACTTCGAGTTGAAAATCATTTACATTGAGAAAAAGGTACAAAGGAATTCTGACTTCGTTGATTAATCATATTATGCTCACTATTGATCGATAAGGTCATAAGTTCAATCCAATGAAGCTTCATAAATGCATAATACCTAGGAGTATCAAATGCGATTACTCACCTCCCCCCCTTCCAAAATACACATAGCCAGATTACATATCTTTTAGAAACTGTTGTGATTTTATGCTTATACAATGTAATAATGATCGATAGCCCAAACAATTAGCTAACTGTACAGATCAAAACACCAAGAAGTTTAGAAAAGTACATTTCATTATCCTGTATTATAAACATCCATTCGGTTATGTGTATATAGAATACATGACTATTATGTGTATTATTAGTAATAAATCGAATACATTTGTGGTATAAATCTGACATAAGTTGTTTATAATTGATTAATACTAATAAATGGAAGGAAAATAACGTAATAATGTTAAGTAGATTGAATAAAGGGGTAGAATTACAACAATGTCAAAATGGACAAACCAGATTTTCCATTTATGTATATACCTATATGCTTAGTGATTCTTCTGGTAACATAAGGTTCATTAACAGTATAATAATAAGCATATCGTGTTGTTTACACGACAGGGGAGGCCAATTGGAATAGCCTGAACCATTTGAATCCCATCCGTATATATATTTGACGATTTACTGTGTAGTAGCTTCCAAATCCTCATATACAATAGAACCCAACTAAGCATTAAGTAAATATAACAGAATCCACTTTACAATAATGAAATACCCCGTCTCATCCAATTTTATTGATTGATTGCTTTCTAAATTTTAACTTATCATAATCGCTCATTGAAACATGCACTCACTTCAATAGTTATTACTGGATTATCATTGAATTTGATTATTTGATAAAAATTAAAGAAAATTTTAACAAATTCTCTTACTATCAGATGGGTTTTGATGTAGTAATTTCAATGGTTAATTGAGCGACACATTCACCATTGTCTTCAGTGCGTTACTATCTCACAACAGACCTGGTTGAACTCCACTGGTCACTACTTCTCACTAGAACTCCAGGATATACCTCGTGAAGCCAGTCACTAGTGAGCATATGTTGATTAATATCAGATGGGTTTTGTGGAGATTGTAGTAATTTCAATGTAATAATTTCAATGCTCGCGCGCGAAACCAGTAGGTCCTGGGTTCGAACTTCGCAGGGGTCGAGGTCGTGGATGCGCACTGCTAAGGAGTCTCACAGTAGAACGTAACGGCCGTCTAGTGCTTCCAGGTTTTCCAGGGTGGTCTAGCTTCAATTGACTCATGATCTTAACCATTGAAGTTCTCTTAGATTAATATTAATTCCAAAAATTAACTTTTACTATTCCTGTAGTGTCTGTCGATATAAGTAGTATGTAATACAAGTCAGATGTGGAATACATGGCAGTAAACAGTTGAAAAGATTGGATTTGAAGAGAATAGAAATATAGGGAAAGAGTAATTGTAATAACTACGGGAATGAAAAAAAACACAATGAAATTTGTAAGAGATAATTGATGGAAGATGTACAAATGCAGTATTTAATGTAGGGTTTTCGTATTTTACAAAGATATTCTGTAATTTTGTATTATTATGTAATAAATTGATCTTCCCCACTTGACTTCTTCGTTCATTACATTTTAACATCGATTGAGTGACGGTATAATTACTCTCTGAAAGATTTATAATTTGTAATTTTCTTACAGAGTCGCTAAACTAGTTTGAGAAAGTATTCAATATCTACTGAATTGAGCTTATGTCAAAATGTGGCAAAAATTTATTTTCTAGAGACAAAAAATAACTGCCCTTTTAATCAAAATAAGATAGTGGCTAAAAGTAGAATTCAGGATATATTTTTAGTTCAAGTATTATTATTATTTTTATTATTTAAATACATAAACATTGGTACAAGGAGGTACCAAGTAGATATGCGCCACACAGATTTCATTTGATATGTGTGAGGGCTATGATACTGCCCGGGTGCCCAAACCGAAGGAGGTGGTTTTCTTAGGGGACCACACTCCGAGCCTTTGACCTAAAGGTCTGACCCACAGGGCATTGGAGAAAAGTAAGGAGATGCAGTCTCATGATAGCCGGTGACCAACGATTGGTCTATACTCCATTTGTTCCTCAGGATACTGAAACCCATGTGCACCACTGGTTTGGAATCCGGTGAAGCGCCGGACATTCATCCTCTCAATTTCGTAAACAACACCGGTGCCACGAGAAGGCAATGAGTAGGACTTCCCTGGCAGAGGCTGTATACGCGTGGCCGTGTGAGAGCATTTCGAGTGGGAGGGCGGGCCAACCCCACTCTCGGCCATACCAGGGCATTTGGGGGCTTTAGTCCAAGTAGGGACTCGTTAGCTAGATGCACTTAGGTCGTTATATTGATATTGATAGCAACATTCAAATTGTGACTCACTCTTCACATAGCAAAGTATTCTTTAATTGTGCATATGTTAATGCGATTTCTATTTCCTTGATCTCTCCTATAAAAATTTCCTATAAATTAGTTAGGACTTAGAAAAATAGTTGAAGATTATGGTGTTTAGCGTTATGGAAATCAAAACTAAAAGCATGTCCCAGTCCATTAAAACTGTTTTACCCTATATCCAAACTATTAGCCTCCATAAAATAACGAGACCTTAGAAAAAATCTTCTTGCTAACAAATATGAACCGTTGTTGAATAAACTTACTCCATGTACCTAAATAAATGGTTGCTCTGGTTGTCAGAAGGGGCATCGGTCTCGTGACTTCCGAAGGGACTCGGCTTTTATCATGAGGCGTCATAGTTCTTCTAAATGAAGAACTTCTGACTCTCAGGGCAGAGTTCAAAAAGTTTGAATAATTTTTTCTGGTTAGCGTTTTTTAGCAAGTTAGTTTTCTACGGGTTGTAGTCGCTAACCCCATGCCCAACCCTCTTCCTTTATCTGGGCTTCGAACCGGCAGTAGTCCCCGGAGGGACTCCAGGCGGAGTTTTATTAAATGAAATCCTATATATAAAAACAAAACATAATTACATTTACAATGATTTCATTTTATTTCAATGATTATCTTTAATATAAAAACAAGAAGACAAATGGAAACAAATTGAAAAATGGATATTCATTACAAAATGGTTTTTACTCAAATTTTCATCCATCTTAAACGTATCTGACTATTCATCCATCCATCCATCTATCTACCCCATCAAAATCAATATACCCACAAAACGTTTTTCTTTTATTACAAAAAAAAAATCATACAAAAATGTTCAATCAGTACATATAACAATTTAGAATGATGTTCTCATCATCAATATACCATTAAGATAGATTGTACTTATGAAACAAAAGCCAATAAATAATAATCATAATAATAATAATATGCATAATAAATTTGTTTTTCTATTGAAGGAATAAAAACGGATCCAAAAAAAAAATTGAACCATCCTCTCTTTATATAAATGAAATTGTTTAAATGAATCAAATCGCGGAGTTTATAAACTCAAGGTCAAATAGTTGGAGGAGGAGATAACAACAACAAAAAATGAGGAATCATAAAATAATTGCTGCTGTATTTTCATAAGATTCGTCCACAATCAGATTTCTTTTTCAAGGCCACTGATAAGTCATATTTTGTAATCTTAAATAGGAAAAAAAAATTATTTTTTTTGTTCAAATGACAACGAGCTCATTCTATAAATTGAGGTTGTTTGTGTGATCAAGAATAAGATATATATATATATTAGAAAATTGTATGGGATGATGTTTTTTAAAGAAAAAAAAGTGGAATAAGGGAATAAGATCTTATGGGGATAATAATAATTTTTTTTAAATTTTTTTTTAAAAAATGGGCGGGAATACAAATCATTTAAGGAATGAGTATCAACAGAAACACGAGTAGTAACAATAATAATTATGGTAAAAAACAATGTGGTATTTATTAGTCAACGAAATGCATGAGCATAGAGTTGTAACATTGGTAATAATAATAATAATAATTAATATGATAGTTACATAAGGTAAAACAGTATGGGTTTTTATTATAGAAACTACATTGATTGATATGCATTTAAAGGCATAGAGTAAGGTGGTGGTGGTGTGTGTGTGTGTGTGTGTGGTCGGCGGGGGGGGGAAAGTAAGACAAAATAGAAGAACTGAACATTAAAAGTTCTACAAACAATTCAATAATCCCAAGAAAATCTAAATGAATTAAAATGAATCGCATGAAAATAATAAAAAAAAACGAACAACCATCATAATGATTATTAGATTAATGTAAATTATTTACTGATTGTAATTCTCTTTGACGACTAGATGCTTTAATACGCTCTTTTGGTGGATCTTCACCAATTTGTTGAGCAAATAAACGCATTTTCTCTTTAAATGGTAACAATTCTGCATTAGGTGGAGGTTTCACTGTTATCTAAAATATATACAGAATAAAAATAGAAAGAAAATTACAAGATTTTCTAAAAAGGATTTGAGAAATCATTGTGTTTCTATTTATCAACATTGATAAATTGCTAAACAAACAAAAATGAATGTTCAATCTAAGACTCTGGAGTGAACTTAAAGATGAAATATTAACTTTTTTATATGATTACTTCTTTGGATTAACTGGTCCACCAGAGGGTTGGGTACCTGTGTGGTTGCGCCACAGAATTGAGCTGTACTATTCAAATTGTAACCTTAAAGCCTATATGGTGTCTGGTTCTCCTGTGAAGCGGGATAGACCTATACTGCTCGGGTTATAAAATTTAAGCCTGGATAGTGTCTGGCTCTCCTGCAAGTGGAATTGAGCTGTACTGCTTGGGTTGTCACGTGAAAGTCTGGATGGTGTCCGGTTTTCCTGAAAACTGATGTACAATTACCCTAGCCAATAAGAGTATGTTATATAAATAAATAAAATATGAGGAAAACTTTTTCTCTCACTGCATATTTTTCATTTGTCTTCACTTTCAAACTTGTACGGCATAAGGAGTTGAACAATTAAGTTTGATCAATACAAATTTTAACAACAGTCAATGAAATCATTAATTGTTGTCTGGAGTCATTTAGTTAGTTGTAGAATATCTGTTTAGGATTCATAAGATTATCGTAACCAATGGTTGGAGACTTTGGATAACATGTTTTCTCTTAAATCCTAAGGTTTTCATTCCACGTTTGAAGCTAACGATGATGGGTTCGAATCACCGAGCGAATACCAACTTTCGGATGTAAGCATATCCAGCTGACGAGTGCCAAATAGGACGAAAGGCGTGTCCTGGATCCCATTGCTAACCACCATCCATCTCTATTTATAATGCTTGTGATTTGTGGCTATTTCGATATAATCTGTACAGGATGCACATATGTCAAAAAGAGACTGATCATTTGCAGTTCTAAACATCAATTGGAAGATTTAAGTCAACAATACCAAGTGAATTCCTTAGTCTTGTTGGACATTTGGACGTAATATTTCAAGATATCAAGATGTTTCTGCGTTTTACTTGAACAAACGTATAAGTTCCTCGGACGAAGTGAACTCTGTATTTTTTGTTTTTATTTGGTTAACAAAAGAATTAATGTCACATTACATAATATCTTGGTACTGTAATTTTCCAAATGAAAGTGCTTAATATCGTGATGAGTTGAAATATTATTTACAAAATAGAAACTTTGTACTGAAACAAAAGTAAGTAGTCAAAAGGATAAACTGAAATTTAATTGTTAGTATGGGGATTTGTCCCAATAGAGGAATGTGGAGATTGTTGAATTTCATTGAAATCATGAACTCATCTAAGTAAAACCACCATTGAAAAACTGGATGCACTGGACGGCCGCTTCGTTCTAGTATGGGACCTTTCAGAAGTGCATTTCCACGATCTCATATTCAGAATTCGAACACAGGACCTTCCTGTTCGTGTACAAACTCCTGATCTATAAATCACTGAGCCGAGATCCAACTATGTTAATGTCAAACTTCAATTGATCCATTGCATGAGGTGAATAAATGTCTCACACTTGACACGATTTGAACTCTACTGGTCACGGCTTCTCATTAGACAAATGAGTAGTTGAACGCATCGCAAGAATGAATTTCCCGTTGAAATAAGTAAAAAACTTTTCTCTACCTATTTTGTACAAATAGTATATACAAGTTGGAAATAGTGCGAAATTTGGTAAGAAACAAATCATAGATTTACACATCGATTATAAGGATGGAGGTTTATGGATATTGTTCAGTATTAGTAAGACCATAAACCGACCTAAGACAACCACTTGAAACCACAAAGCATTGAGGAGTCTCTTACTAGGATAAAAAAGCTATTTAGTACCTCCTAGTTTACAATGGTTATCTAACTTACTCCCAGTTATGATCCTAATAACTTAAAAGTCACTTTTGTAAAACAGAAGTGCAAATTCAAAGGATAAAGTGAAAGCAAACACTATCAGTTTTAATTGTTCTAACTTACTGTAGGTGGCGTATTGTTTGTGGCAAGTTTTCCCTGAGAAGATGATCTTGGTACGCTGTGATTTAGGTTTGTTTTATTACTTTGATGATTTTTATCTAAATTTCAACATTAAGAAAACAGTTTATATATAGGTATATATTATAGTGGATAAAACGTGGTGAAAAAAGGGTATAAACTCAATGAGTAATAAAACATGGCAATACTGATCCATATGTAAATAAGCGTTTGATTTTTCCCATTGTTGATACTAAGGTCTGCGTTTAGAGTTTCTACTGATATATATATACTGAGTTCAAGTTCCAAATTTAACATCAATACAAGAATCAGGTTTATCTAACTGACGAGTTCCGAGTATAATTAAATGCGTACCCTGAATTTAACCTCTAACCACAAACTAATTTCACTGAAGTGACACTCTAGTGTTATATTATCTTGGCAACTGTGGAAACAGCAAAGATTTTTCGACAGAATATTAATCGGGATGGTATATCCCCAGAAATCACTTGTTAACCTTCTTACTTCTTTAATTTAATTTTGAAAATCCGAATTTCATTCTTGCGCCTAAAGCGCCCATTATTGCCTTCAGTTTGTGCTTCCCAACTGGAAGGATCTTAAACGTCACTGGTTGGTTTACTCTTTGGGCACGCTACTTATACAACGATATACTTTCAAAAATATGCTTACATCGATTTATATTGATCAAAATACACACTAGATATATTGGGGTGGACCCAATTTATAACTTTAGATGGAAAGGATTAATCAGCATACACATGGTCAGAGGTTGACCGAACAAGACAGTCGTAAGGAACGCAGGGATATATGAAGGTAAAAAAAACCTACGAGGACAATTCATGATCATTAGACTAGGCCAATCTGTCACTCGTCAAATAACTTCTTAAACAAAGCCCATCTCGGTCTGATATAGGTGCTGAAGTTGTTCATTGAGCTAATAACAAAATTTACAATCGGACCAGTCAATTTTAAAAACGAAAAACTTCAAAAAAAGAGTACTAAATAATTTAAACATTCTTACCATTTGTCTTATCATCAATTTCAAATCCAACTGGAGGACTCAATGATTTTTTATATGATGAATTAATGGATGAAGAATTCAGTGAATTTTTCGGTCCCGATGTTAATGTTATGCTAGGAATTTGAGATTTATGCATAGTTCCATGTTCTATGAAACTTCCATGTGGTGTTGTTGGTGGACTATAGACAGATATAGTTTCTAAATTTTTATCAAATGATACTGATTTTTTTACACGTATACTTTCAACAGATGAACCAGTTGTACCAGATACTATTTGTAAACGATTTAATTCACTTTCAATAATTTGTGGACCTAAACGTGATTGAATAGGATGTTGTAAAGAATAAGAAGCCGGTTTGGATATTTCTGTATTGTTATTATTATTATTATTATCGAATCTTGGACGACCATAACGATTTTGACTAGTTGATATTTGAGATATGTCTAGGAAAGTAAAAAAAATCACGGAAACATTGGGAAAAATAATTTTTGATTGGTAATTGTAAATTATTTTTAAATGAATCCGCTTCATACATTACAGTATTTTAATGTTGATTAATAGCTTAGTGATGTTCACTCTCATGGTTGTTCAATACCTTAGTGTTTATTCAACACTATCAGTCAAGTTAGGATATGAAGACCAGTCGAAATGGTTCGATATTGCAAGGATTTTGTTTAATTGTTAGTTGGCATTTGGAGGCAGTCAGTATGAAATTCTACTTGATCTAGGTTTCATGCCATATGGCACTTATCACCGAGACATATCTGTAATCTTGATTAAGCCAATGAACGCTGTACGAATTATTTTCGTTATTGGCAATACTAGGACAAGACAAATAAACAATCTACTTATCACAATAGTTGAAATCATGAGTCAATTGAGGTTAGACCACCATGTAAAACCTGGAAGCACTGGATGGCCGTTTCGTCCTAGTATGGGACTCCTCAGCAGTGCGCTCATCTGCTCATTAGTGACTGACTTCAAGAGGCATTTCCTGGAGTTCTAGTGAAAATCCATGACCAGTGGAGTTCACCCAGGTCTGTTGTGAGATATCGACTCACTGAAGACAATAGTGTACAGTGGCGCGATTTCATGGATTGGTTGAAGTTAGACATTAACACCGTTGGATGCCGGCCAGCTCAGTGGTCTAGTGGTTAAGTGCTCGCGCGCGAGACTAATAGTTCGTGGGTTGGAATCTCGCGGGGTGCGGGATCGTGGATGCGCACAGCCGAGGAGTCCTATACTAGGACGAAACGGCCATCCAGTGCTTCCAGGTTTTACATGGTGGTTTAACCTCAATTGACTCATGATTTCAACTAGTGAAATTTCTAAAAATCTCTACAAAACCCTTTCTGATAATAATCTTCTTAACATAAAGACTATACGAATTTTCTTAATTTCGAGTGAATTATTGGTAGTCCAGTTCACTTTATGACAGAAGTATATTTCCAAAGATCAGTTGATTAGGAACTACGTGAATTTTTCCGATTACTCATTTTATGAGAGAAAACATATAATTACAATTAGGTACAGGTAGTTAGAACTGATGTCTGATACTATACATGATTTAAAAACTGACTTCCTAAACATTTTCTAGCTTTCGGAAGTTTTCGATTAAAGAGCTCCTAGCGGAAAACTAAAGATTTGTAATTCGAAAACTGTGCAGAGAAAACAATACTAATTATGATGTAATGAGACACTTTGGAACTCAAGAAGCTTCGGTGAAATATTTCATGACAACAAATTCCATAACTTTTCGATAAAATGAGAACAAACAATGACACAATGAAATACTTTTAAAAAATCGACGTCAATAATTTAATAATGGTATAGAATAGTGCACTTGGCTTTGAACCGAACATTTTTTATGGGATGGCCGGTAGCAACAACTGAATTGTATATAAAACATAATGATTCCTCACACTTAAAAACTTACTATCTTCAGAGCTTTGTCTAAGAGGTACTTGACTTAAATTTTGATAATTCCATGATTTTACGTCATCATCAACTGTTTCTGCGTTTCTAGGTAACGATGATGAACTGGAGGGAGATTGCACCTGGAAAATAAAAGCAGATATACATCATCAGGTTACGTCATAATTTGTCGAACTTGTTTGACCGCACATTTAAGATTATCAATAAAACAATTCTGTTACAGATGCTCTTTGATTAGTAATGCTTCTACTGAGAAAATAACCACTACTCTTTTATCAATTCTGAAAAGTAAGAACTGGCGTAAAGATTTAGGTGTGTTTTGTCGCAGAATGCATGATATTTAGTAGAACAGGAACAAATCCTATGACTAACAGAACGTTCTACGTAAGGTGGATATCGTCTCCGTTAAATTAAAGGTGAGTGTTGAATGTTAACGTGGAGTAACTCAGTAATCAATTAAACTTCGTGTACATTTGACTTGCAACCGCACATTGTACGTGCACTTGAGAGTTAATAATACTCTGTCACTAATAAAACTGAAGTAGATAGACAAGAATTTGAACTAGCGACCCGGGAGGTAGGGGTTAAGTTCCCTGACTATTTTGTTACTACTTCTCAAACGTGGAACTCTATTACAGTGCTATGATTTCATGATGTAAGATACAAATGAAAATTACTCAGGTAAATTATAGTAGTGTGTCAGTTTGGAGGAGATGAAACATTACAGCCCGGTATCACAGTTTTATCTTGAATGTTGTTCATGAAAGAAAACAGCTGCTAATCAATATTATAATCAGGTCGCCTAATTAGACAGTGAATTATAAATAAACAAAGAGGCCTCGTCAGATCTGTCAATAATGCAGCACAGGGCAACAGATATTGACCACATCTAATCTTAAACATTAGTACAAAAAATTATGAATGATTGCTGGTCCCATTTTTATTCGTTGAGCAAGCTGGTTGCTGCCAAGACTCGGTAGCTCAGTAGATGACGCGTTGAGAGTTTGAAATGGCAAAATATTAGGATCGAGTTTCAGTGTAAACATCAATCTTGTGATACAGATACATTCATTGGAATTGTAACAAATGGGATGAAACACGTGTCGTGAATCCCACTACTAGCCATATATCTCAGTTTATTTTAGTCGATTGAAATTGTATAACCTTCAATTTATTAGTAACTCGAACGCAAACTTTATACAGGTAAATAATGATCTCTAAATTAAAATATGAAAGAAATTTGTATTTTTTTTCAACTCATACTTAAATGTATACAAAAGGATTGAAAGTGATTTCCAACAGTACTTATGTTCAATTAAGTATATTTGATTTTCGTTTCACTACAAATCTAGACATTAGTTATTTGGTTAATGACTTTTATCAAGTTCCGCTTTGGAGGAATAAGCTTGACAACTGTATCTCCAAACATTTTGTAATCGAGCTTGGAACTGGAAGTCAACATAAAACAGATTCTAGGCAAAGTATAGATCAAATAAAATCATATCATCCAGTGCTTAATATTTACAGAATTCCATTGTTCAAGTTTTATTTAGTCATTTTAACAACAAATTATTGTGTGATTATAACCTTCTTTCTATAGAAGAATGAACTTGTTCGATCATTGAAGAGTATTCCAAGTTGTATACTTCGATGTCCCTAGTTTTTTTTAAAAAGTCAAATGATTACATTATTCATTTAATATAATAATGTAGGTAGATTGTCGTCAATGCTTTAAAACGTTAATGCGTGCCGCAAGCTTTATGTAATTTAGTTGTCATCAATTAACTTGAGTTTATTGTATCAAGCAGATTCATAAAGTATACCAATAGGATAATCATATCTTTTACTTAAACAGAATGCCCTATGTGAATTAATTAAGAAATCATAACATAATCCTTTTTGAATGTTTATACTATTGGAATAAAAGTACACATCCTGTGTAGAGTTATTAATTAGATGTAGTCATACCACAGAACATATCGTTTATAATACTAAATAAGGAAGAATTAATATTATGATGAAAGTTTAGAAAACCTCTTACTCATTAAAGTAAACAGCAAGTTAAATCCACTTAGTATTGTTTTTTATTTGAATCTTCTCATTGATGTCTAGGACTGCAGTTGACCAGTCTCTTATTGGCATATGTACATACTGTATGTATTGCCTCGATATAGCCTTAATTCACATGCATTATATGCAATGATGGATAGTGGCTAGCAGTGGAATCCAGGAAGCGCATTTTATCCTATTTGGTACTCGTCAGCTGGATGTACCTGAATCTCAGAATTGATGTTCAATCAGGACTCAGTAGCCAAATAGATAACGCGATAGTATTTGAGGCGAACGGTACTAAGTTCGAGTCTCAGAGTAAACGTCAACTCTGAGATGCAGGTACATCCAGTTGATGAGTGCCAAATAGGACGAAACGTCCATTCTGGATTCTATAGTCGGCCACTATTCATCCTTGCTTAAAAAGCTTGTGAATTAAGGCTATATCGAGGCAACTCGCACAAGATGCATATATGCCAATAGGAGATTGATCAATTGCAGTCCTAAATAACAATGGGAAGATACAAATAAAACAACATCAAATAAATTTAGTCAACTCATATTACTATTAATCTTTAAACAAACCAATAATGTTTTCAAACTAATGATATCTAGAAAACTACTGAATAATGCATCTTTCTACATAAGAATTATCAATGGAGAGAAGAGTTATCACTATGTAAGTAGTATAAAACAAATAACATTGATATAGTATCATCTTCAGTAATACCCAGTAACCAATCAATATAACTCAACAAATGGAAGCATATACATTTAATTTTATTTTTAATAAATAGTAATAGTAGTAAGAATAATAGAAAAAAAGAAAGAAAATCAATCAAAACATACTTGATGTTTATGTTCAAACCAATGACTACGTTCTTTAGCTCTTAGTTCTTGTCTTATTAACATTGCTCTATGCTCTTGTTCTAATTGTGATAGTTTTTGATTTTGTCTAAAATGATATAATGTATAAATAAAAATAATATATTTGTAATATCTCAATTAGATTATCTGACGTTTCGTCACTTAATGTAGGCAACTTCTTCAGAGAAATAAAAAAAATAAACAAATCAAAATTAATCCAAGTCTTCATTATTGAAATATGATTGCTGTTTAATTTCATATAGTTTTAATAGAATGTATAAAAGTAAGTAAATATATTTATTAGGATTTTTGTATTGATTGTTTGAGTCTTCTAATTGATATTTAGGACTAAAATTGATCAGTTCCAAGTAGAATGAAACACGCATCCTGAATTTCATTGGGATATATAATCTATCTCTGTTTATAATGCTTGTGACTTATGGCAATATTGAGACAATCCGTACAGGATACATATATGCCAATAAGAGGCTGGTCAATTGCAGTTCTAAACATCCAGGTTTTCCATGGTGGTCTAGCTTCAATTAACTCATGATCTCAACTATTGGCTTCAAGGTGTATATCCTGGAGTTCTAGTGAGAAGTAGTGACCAGTGGATCCAACCAGGTCCGTTGTGAAATAGTAACTCAATGATGACAATGGCAGATGTATCGATCAATTTCGTGGATTAGTTGATGTTAGACATTAACACCGGCTTAGTAGTCTAGATGTCAAGTGTTGGCGTGTGAGACCGATAGGTCCTGGTTTCGAATCTCGCGAGGTGAGATCGTGGATGTGCACCATTGAAGAGTCTCACAGTAGAACGAAACGGCCATCCATTGCTTCCAGGTTTTCCATGGTGGTTTAGCTTCAATTTACTCATGATTTCAACTATTGAAATCAATGGGAATATTCAAACAAACAATACAAAATGAATTAAACCTTCATCCATTGCACAAGCTAGTGACTGCTTGGACTCGATAGCTATGTGGATAGCGCTATGACGTGTGAAATGAGCGATAATGGGTTATAGTCTCAGAGTGAGAATCAATTTTGAGATGTATGTATGTCCAGCTGATGAGTTTAAAGTGGGCCGAAACGCGTGTTCTGAATTCCACTGTTAGCTACCATCTATCTGCTTACATTTATTATCATTCGCAAATTGTTATTTATTATTATAGTTGATGATTTTGAATAAATTTAATATTTTTATCGTTTGTTTCAGGTTATCATATTATATATTAGACATTCATATATGTGTATTCGATTGAAATGTTTTATGCGTAGACTACAAAACGTCAACCGCTCGTCGTGGGATCTGAATAATCCCGGGCTTGATCTTTGATGAAAAAGTATCATACCAGGTTGAAATAGCTACCCAGTGCTTTTTTCAGTGATTAGTTTACTTATGTCAGTTCGTAATGTGAACTATAAAAAAGAGGTGGTTATTCGGCTACCATTGCACTTTATATATGTCACTTGTTACTGTATAAAACATATCAAAATATTACAACTCAACATGAAAATGTCATATTGTTCGAAAACTCATACATCGCAAATTTATTCAGCAATCAAACCGTCGAATACTAACCTTCTACTACAAACGTATGACTGTTATCAAGATAAATATAAGAATAATTAAACTCAAACTGATAGACAGAGATGTTAGAGTGGAAGTATAACCATTAAAAGTTTTTCTGAAATACTTACGTCTCTAATAACTCTTGTTCAGCTTGATTACGTTTTTGAACCCAATCATGTTCATTAGGATGATTTGTATTGGATATAGACATTGATGAACGAGACTGGGATGATTCCTTAAGTAAAATAAAATTATTGAGAAAATATGTTATAAAATTTGACATTTATAATTTCTAATGATAATGGTTATAATGCGTTTTTATCCTTACTCTTAATCTAAATATATATAAAAGAATAAAAACTATGATTATGTTGGACATTCTTCCGCTTTAATGTCTCACATTAACTCGGCGCCCAAATATTGTTAAACTATTCGTTCAAATTTAGACGAAAGTTCTTATTTATGATTATGTTGTTATTCAAACAATCATAAATGAAATAAGTTAGCTGACATATTTGCAATCATGTAAACTGACTACTTAACAACAAGTATATAGTAAACAAAGATGATTATGTATATTGGCTAATCACAAATAGATCATAGATCATTGCTTCATTCCTTTGTACTGTCTATGTAGTTAATTGATAAAATGTAAAATTTACAAAAATCAAAATCATTGATCAGTATAGTATTTTAAACTCCATCTGGAGACCCTCTGGCGCTACTAGCGGTCCCAAGTTCGGATAAGGGAGGAAAGTTGGGCATGGGGTTAGCGGCCCCATCGCGTTTGGAAAACTAACTCGCTTTAAAAGACGCTAACCAAAAAAATAAATAAAACCATTTGATATTTTAAGAATAAACAACTCAACCAACGTCAATTGTGATGTATATTTGTTAAAATAACATTTTAACACCATAAATACAAGCTATTGTTAAGTGTACAGTCCTCTATTAAATTATATGCAACTGTATCTATGTTAAAAGTATTTAACCAAATAGATTAGATTAGATAAAAATGAATCTAAATTTCATTTAGATAACATAATGATAAGATTGTATAACACTTATTTATATAAGAATACATCGGTGAACGTTACCAAGAATGACATTCCTACTGTTAAACTATGTGGTTTTAGTTTCGACTTCAAGATCATCAAAGGCTTGTGCTATTGTTGATTGTTGTCCATTACTTTCCGTAATAAACGTAAGTGGGTTGTGTGTGCATGCTGAGTCGTTGGTTCATCATTTTTTAGTTCTCTTTTCCAGCTCTTCTAATTTACATGTTCTCCTACTATACAAGGTACTTTTTAGTTAGACATGAACTGTTACACTACTCACTTGTTATGATGCAAAACAATAAGATCAGTAAGTTCACAATTTCAACAGAGCAATAGTTACATCATACAAAAATAGTTTATTCAACCCTAAGTCTATAGCCTATTTCAATCTCTAACTTTGTATTACAGAAAATAGAAAACAATAAACGAACTGAATAAACAAAGTGGATATTCTCTAGTTACACCCACAAATTCAGATTAGTTATGTAACAAGTGACCTGCAAAAAGTACAGTAATTTGTATTATACAGTTAATCATATGATAAGGGAGTGAACATTTGATGAAATCAATAATTTAGATTATATATGCAAAGTTGATGAATTATAACATTTGTATAATAATTCATTAATATACTAAAAAGTACTTTCATAGCTAGAATGTTTTGCATATTGTAATGAAAATAACAACAGATTATGTCAACAATGCTTAACAAACATTTACTATTATTTCAGAGATTGAAATCATGAGTCAATTGAAGCTAGACCACCATGGAAAACCTGAAAGCACTGGACGGCCGTTTCGTCCTAGTGACTAACTTCAAAAGATACTTCTGGAGTTCTAGTGAGAAGTCGTTACCAGTGGAGTACAACCAGGTCTGTTGTAAGATATCAGCTCATTGATAACAATGGTGTACGGTGGCGCAATTTCGTGGACTGGTTAAAGTTAAACATTAACACCATTGAATGCCGGCTCAGTGGTCTATTCGGTTAAGCGCCTGTCGCGAGACTGATAGGTCCTGGGTTCGAATCTCGCAGGATGCGAGATCGTGGATGCTCACTGCCGAGGAGTCCTATACTATGACGAAATGGCTGTCCAGGTTTCCCATGATAGTCTAGCTTCAGTTGACTCATGATTTCAATCTGTGAAATTTCTAAAATCTCCACAAACCCCTTCTGATAATTTACTATTATGTTCTGTATATTATTTAATTGAGTAATACTTCAATTTTGTACAGAATAAACATTGACAGATAGGTCAAGTCATTATATAAAGGAGGAATGATACGTCTAACTATTATTCATTTTCAATGTATACAAACAATCAGCATAGCTGAGTAAGTTGTGAAGAGAAATAATAAATGTTATATGAACTGGATAACTATTGAATATTGAACAGATTCTTCATCCGCATCCGAAATTACTCAACAATGGTTTTCGTTTATTTTTTTTCCCCAGATAAAACCAGGGATCAATTATGTTTTGTAGTGACCATGTTAAAATTTAGCTATTTTGGCTGTTAGTTGAATAGTCTGTACGTTAAAAGATTTTTTTATGAAATAATTCATTACGATTTCGGATCCCAATGGTTAGAGTAGTATATACATATCACTTTTGTATATGTATAATAAGGAATGTTGCCTAACTACTTCTTAATTATTACTATATCGTTAATAAATTTTAAATGTTTTTTTTACAATTCGCAGTCATGATGAGTTAGGGGAAGCCAAACCAAAACGTGGCATCAGTCCACAAAGTCACTAACTTCTAGTTCGAGCCATGTTGGTAGATGCAGACCACTCAGTTGGGGTCCGTGTGACTATCGTAATCAATGGTTGGAAACTCTGGGTGACATGACTCAGAATCGATCACAATGTCGTAGGTGTATACACTCTTTGTCATCCCTTAAACTATGAGATTAAAATCTTTTTTAACCAACTAATCCTTTCTTCCTGTACTATGTCCTGATATGCAATCTTTCTTTCATATATCACCACCACTGAACTAACTACTTCTATGAATTTGGTGTTCATCTTGTTGTGCTAATGAGGTATGGCAACTTGGACCGATGCATATATGTTCCTGGTCCTACGTTGTAACTGACTGACTGACTGACTGATGAAGTATGTTTCACATTCACCAGTGAATTTTTATGTGTTCCGTAAGAGTTCTACGTACTGAAATGAAGATAGATTGAATTAAACTATTGGTCACATTGGAGCTTGGGCGATAGTATATGATTAACACTGAAAGGGCTAGACAAATATCAAATTTTTTAATTAATGGTGATCTCTCCATCATAGATACCTTATTTCCACACGTCATTTACTGTCTCTATAGTTCAATAGTAACTTATTAAGACTGTGAATTTACGTGAAATAAGTTCGAATCCTACAGGCAGCATTAGTCCTCTCAAAAGTGAATGTACACCTTGTTGACTTGTGCCAACTAGCACGGAACCCAGGTTCAGAGTTTCTTGCCGATTGCCTAGCAATACCTAATATAAGGCTTAAAACACAAAATTTACTTTCAAAAATTAATTCATACTTACTAGTGTACTTGATTTTTCAGGTATATTATAATTTTTGGTTTCTTTTACTATAGAATTATTACTGGTACTGATATTATTATTATTATTTACTGCAATCTTGCAATTCGATTCACGTTCTGCTAAACGTTTTTGAAATTGCAATTCCACATGTAATCTATCTAATGTTGAACTTAAATCTAATCGATTATCAACACATTGTTGAGCTTCTAATTCAGCAATTTCTGATTGAATTGCAATAACGCGACTTGCAGCTGAACTAGTCGGAGATGAAGAACGAAATGCAGCCGGTTTATTGGAGTATTTAGGTAATGAAGATGGATAATTGTCATCTGAATCTGGCCTATGGATTATTCGGTCCAATGGTTTCAATGATGAATTAATTGTAGAAGACTAAAATAAATTAGAACAGTAGTAAACTTAATATCAGAAGGGATTTTGCAAATATTACAATAATTTTAATAGTTTAGATCCTGAATCAATTGAAGCTAGACCACCATGGAAAACCTAGAAGCACTGGACGGCCGTTTAGTCCTACTGTAGGACTCCTCACCAGTGCGCATCCACGATCCCGCCTCGCGAAATTAGAACCCAGGATCTATCAGTCTTGCGCGCAAAATCACTGGAATCAGTCAAAATGTCATACAACACATATCTCATACCATATCTATGTTAATTTTATTTCAATTTCTAAGAAGTGTGCTCAAGTTCATTGTGAATGAGATGCGTTAAACTTTGATTAACTGTTCATGTTAGGTGACCGATTAATCAGGTAATTTCTTCTTAAAATTCAAGGAAAAATGTATGAATAAGGTTTTCCATTAAGTTTCCTCATCAACCGTGTATCCATAATAAGTAAATTAGTAAGTGAAATTTTTTGTCTAGAGACAGCTAATCTTGGGGTACCATTGAAGATATAACAACACTAGACAGTTGTTTCTCATCTTAGTCTAGGACTCTTCATTAATCAGTATATACTACCCCGTCATGGATCGAAATCAGGACCATCAGGTCTAGTATTGAACCTTTAACCATTAAAGCCATCCAGTTGATCCCGTTCTAGAACAAAATTACTATTTAATGCTCTCTGGTTTCTTATAGTACCACAATTCAGATCAATTAGTATCGAGTAGAATGACTGTTAATTGAAACAATCCCTATAAAATCCTTTCGAATCATTTATAGTTGAAAATAATTTGATTGAATAAAATTATTATTGAATGACATAAACTGCTTTTGTTTTAAATGAATATTATTCAAAATATATTCAATGCATTTCACTAATATGTAACCGTCAAAATCAACAATGAAATGAATGCTAACTTGTACATCAATTGGATTAGTAGATATAGGCGATAGATGTGATTCATTTGTAGATGAACAATGTTTATACGTTGACCAGTGAACTGGTTCTAATCGTTCCGGTGGATGATATTGTGGATACTCTGCAGTTGGAATAGGAGGCGGTGACGGAACATATGATGTTGTTATAGGTCTGGGATAAGTAGGTAATGTATTGTGTACTTCCATATTTAACTGTAATAAGAAACAGAAGGAGAATTTGTGAAATCTTTGGAAATACATTGTTTTACCTTAGAAGTATCAGTGTATAAACAAACATTTCCTTGTGTAATGAAATAATATGATGGATAATCTCAAGTACACAGCTAGCTCGTTTGAACGTCGGTGATACTACCTGGCCGTTAAAACTGGGTCGCGTAAAGTGGGATTTACGCATAAGTCTACTGGTAAAATACCAAGTACTTCAATCACTAACTCTCTGGCTTCTAATGTACTCTGAAGTAAAATAATAATAAGTATGCCACTGTATTAACGATTTCTTGTTTAGAGTACACATTCACCCAAGAAATCCACAAAGTGACAACTAGTTAGATACTACTTTCTAATACCATATTCTTTAAGAGGTTTTTACAGATAAACTATGAGTAAAAATAAATCTAGTCTCACATCAATAAAACACGATATTTCAATATTTCAGTTAATTACACTAAGATTAAGAGGAAGTATTATCTGCATTATGGGTTGATTTCACAAACTAACCTACGTTCGATGACAACCTAAAACCAAGTAGACTTCATTGAGACAATGTTTCGTGTAACCACCATACAATGCCATATGCAAGTAATTGACTGTTCAATACTCTCTGGTTTTCAATGATTATTTCACAAAGAGCAGTTCGTGATGTAAACCATAGAACATACAAACAATTCTGAGATCGAGTGTTAGTTCTTTTTCAAAAAGACAAAACAGATGAAACCATACCATTCAACAGCCTAAATGAATTTGATATTCCTACTAAATAACCTGTTACTTCATGAATGTCTCAAGTAATAAGAAACAATAACTTACTCGATTATTTTGTGAAGAAACTGGATTGAATTTATCACTATCTGAAAACTGTATACCTGAGGATTGATTTGGATAAGATGAAGTAGATATATATGATGCTGATTTCTGTACAGATGTCAAATTCCCTGGTAAATCATATTTTCGATAATCACTTGTATACTGAGGAATACGATCATGTACAATAGGTTTAGACGGTTGTATAGTGTTATTAGTATTCTCCACTTTCAATTGATTTATTTCATTGGCCTGATAGGGTTTGGTTGAGATACTTTTATTTGAAAAATCACAAACGAATATTCAAATTAAACAACAAGATCATAAGGGAAATAAAGTAAATTTATCAACATAAATTTAATGAAACAAACAAATCGCCTTAGTCCAGTCTTTTACCAGGAATTCCGACGTTTCTAACATACGCCGATGGTACATATTCAAACAACAGCAATAATAAAGAACGCAGAATTTTAAAAATTAAAAATTAACATTGATCAATGTAATTTTAAATGAAAACCGCACTTTTCATTGTTAAATAGTTATGGTGAATCAATCCAAAACTACGATCATACGTTGCCTACTGGTTAGTAGTTATCATAGAGGCATGTGTATCGTTTTATTAAAGAATCCAATGTTCATTGTGATGTTTTAGCGCGTACCAATCCCTAACTAAATCGTCAATGATTTCATTAAATAATCTTGTATTATGATAGTAAGTAATAAACTTAGATTGCTGATATTGTTATACATGAAATAAAGACTAAAAATCATGTTTGGACTGATGTTGCGAATATATTGTGAAAAAAAACTTGATCTTATACGACTATAACATTAAAAAAATAATGATATAGTCATTAATACACAATAATCTATCATGAAATTCAACGACTCTGTTAAACCAGAAAATTAACTAACAAACTGAAATAATTTCATCAGTTGAGATCATGAGTCAATTGAACCTAGACCACCATGGAAAACCTGGAAGCACTGGAGAGCCGTTTCGTCCTATTGTGGGACACCTCGGCAGTGTGCATCCACGACTCCGCCTCGCGGGGTGCAAACTGTTGAGGAGTCTCACACTAGGATGAAACGGCCGTCCAGTGCTTCCAGGTTTTCCATGGTGGTCTAGGTTCAATTGACTCATGACCTCAACTGTTGAAATTACCACGATCTCCACAAAACCCTTTTCGAAACTAATAGTGTTTGTATCTGTTCTCATATTCGTTCTTTCTAGAATAGAACTAGATACAGTCAATCTAAAAAATTGTTCCAGACATTTTTGTGATGATTCGATAAGAAGATTTTCATTTAATCAATATAAATAATTAAAGAGAACATATTTCAATGGAATCGGTTCTTAGACGGTAACCAAATATTTTGTAATTCCACTGACTAAGGAAAAATTTATTGTGAAAACTAGTGATACTACTCAACTGTTCAAAATGAAATAGGCATGAGACCGAAGGTCCTGGGTTTGAATCCCACGTGCGGGGTTGTGAATGCGTACTACTGAGGAGTCTCATATTATGACAAAATGGGGGTTCAGTGCTTCTAGGTTTTCAGTGATAATCTAAAATTGATCGATTCATGATCACAATAAAAAAAACTCAACAATATTCACAACCCCATGGTCATGATTTTTATTAGCTTAAATCTGTGACTCAGTGGTTAATTGTGAACAGTCAACAACTTCGTTGATCAGTCAATAGGTCAGTAAATACAGTATAAAACTGTATCATGTTGTTTAGACATATTTATAACTGAGTAGTTGCATATTGTTTTATAGTAGATTATGTTTGGTTTGATTGTGTATTACATGTGTATAACTATAAAAGGAAAACTCATAATCTGATAAACAATTCGTGAACATGATTTACGACCTTAATTACCGAAAAAAAGATAATAACGTCTTTAACAGTGGTGCAACCGGGTCCGCTATTAGACAGAAAGTACTCTTTCTTAAGTCATTTATATACAAACTAAATGCAAAATGTTATGATAAAAAAACATTCAGTTGTGTCATTGTACATAGGTGCATTAACCAAATAAATAAACGGAATAAATGCAAAACTTTAAAAATCGAAACAACAAAATACAACACCAACTACACGAACCAAATAATAATGTGCATAGCTTTTGTATATTTATGTGAGATCTATTTGGTGTGATGTAAAAATACTACTATTACTATTGCTACTTACCGACCACGCTGAGGGTTAATATGTACAACGGGAAGATCAGTTTGTTCCACTAGACCTCTCATCATAATACTGGGTTCTTCAGTCCATCGGTTAGTAGATACTACAGCGTGAGAAGGTGGTTTCAAGGCTTCTGAATCTGGTTCATCCTCATAAGGAAGTGATTTTGTTGAGGAGTTATTTTGTTGGCGACCGACTGATGCTTGATTTACAGAGTGTAAAGTGGATTGTCCTAAGTTATGCGGTGAAATATTTAACAAACTGTTCACTGGACTATCTTCCTCAGTTGCCTTGTTTTTATGTATAGATGATTGAGTAGTTTCAGTCGAATATGGAATGTAGGCTAGATGGTCAGTTGAACTGGAATCATAATTAGTTTTATCAACCCTCTGAGATGCAGATGAATTATTTCTGTGTTTTGTACAAGATTGAATAGAGTCATTACTTATTCAATGATCACATATATTTTTCAGTTATGGTTTATAAAAAGATTAAGGAGAATGCTTAATTGTTTTACAGCTTATAGTATAGAGGTTGCTTTTCCATGCATATATCAATCCTAAAATTTAATCACTATGTCTGAGTCTTTGTACCAGTCTGCTGTTACACTTTACGAGGTGATATATGAAGTAATGTCAATACAGCTGATTTAGAACATGTAAACCAGTGGCTAGATACTAATTAATTGATCCAGTTAACTGAATATATTATAGAATGGTAAACCTTTAAACATATACTTAAACATTTAGTGGGTAGTTATCAGTTGAGAGAAGCTAATTTTCTTCAAAGATTCAATATGATATAGGATAAACAATGATTACATAATACATGATTTGTAGACCTTATAAATACCTAATAACATTTGATGATTATTTCAACCAAACACTTTGAAACTAATATTATCCTCACAGAATAATAAATAAGAAGTTTCGTCTAAATTTGACCGAATAGCTTCACAGTATTTGGGCGCCAAGTTAATGTGAAACATTAAAGAGGAAGAATGTATTTCCTTGAAAAAGCTTGGATCAGATTGCCAGGCGAAACGTTGGATTTACTTCAAATTCTTTCGCTGAGACTTTACAAATACATTCTTCCTATTTAATGTCTAATATTATCCTCATACATTCAAAATTCAGACAAAAAATGACTCCAAAGAGGAAGAATGTATTTGTAAAATCTCAGAGAATAGATTTAAAGTGAATCCAACGTTTAAAAAGGTTTGAATAATTTTTTTCTGATTAGCGTTTTTTTAACGAGTTAGTTTTCTACGGGATTCGGCCACTAACCCCATGCCCAACCCTCCTCCTTTATCCGGGCTTGGGACTCAAAATAACTGTCAACCAACATCAAGGTCAGGATTTTTAATACAAATGTCAAGACAATTCTACTGTATGGGGCGGAAACCTGGAGAACTATGAAAGCCATCATCCAGAAGATTCAAATGTTTATTAACAGTTGTCTACGCAAAATACTTCGGATCCGTTGGCTGGACACTATTAGCAAGAACCAACTGTGGGAAAGAACAAACCAGATCACAGCGGAGGAAGAAATTAGGAAGAAGAGCTGGAAGTGGATAGGACACACATTGAGGAAAGCACCCAACTGCGTCACAAGACAAGCTCTCACATAGAATCCTCAAGGCCAAAGGAAAATAGGAAGACCAAAGAACAGATTACGCTGGGAAATGGAGATAAACATGAGGAAAATGAACAAGAATTGGATGGAATCAGAAAAGAAGGCCAAGGAAAGAGTGGGTTGGAGAGCGCTGGTCGGCGGCCTATGCTTCATTGGGAGTAACAGACGTAAGTAAGTAAACCCAACGTTTCTTCTGACAATTTGGTCTCAGTTTTTTCAAGGAAATCATTTCAATAATGACTTCATTGTCCCGATAGTGAAAATTCAGCTAATTATCATAACACTTTTAATTTGAAAACAACTGGTTGTTCAATGATAAGAAAAAAACGTTATATATTTAAGAACATGAGAAGACAAAGTTGATTTGAAAAATATGACGTACATTTTGAACAATCTGGTCATACATATACTTGTCAGGGCATTTTATATGTATAGAACAAATACATCACATTTTTTAGATCAACTACGTCTTCTCATTGTTCTATTGAAATTTATAAAGGGGACTAATTACTTTAGATATTTAAGATTATACACTAAATAAATATAGCATTCTATCCATAACATGAATGAAATAAAGGTTTGATAAGTTTATCTACTTTCATCTTTTATAAATGTTTATATATTTTATATTTTATATATAATATTCGTCTTTATTACTGTGGGTAGTTATCAGTTGAGAAAAGCTAATTTTCTTCAAAGGCCCAAAAATGCTCTGGTACGGCCTAGAGTGGGAAGAGTCCGATCTTCCTCTCGAAATGCTCTCACATGACCACACGTATATAGCCTCTGCCAGGGAAGCCCTATTCACTGCCTTCTCGTGGCGGGGGTGTTGTTTACGAAATTAAGAGGATGAAAGGCGAATGTCCGGCGCTTTAACCGGGTTGGTGGACATGGAGAGTTCATCTAGAGGAGATGGAAAACCCTGATTCTGAACCAATGGTGCACATGAGCTCCAGTATCCTGAAGGAACAAATGGCCTATGAACCAATCGTTGGTCACTGGCTACCATGAGACTTCATCTCCTTAGTTTTCTCCACTGCCTTGTGGATCAGACCTTCAAGTCGAAGGCTCCGGGTGTGGTCCTCTAAGAAAACTAGCTGCTTCCGTTTGGGCACCCGGGCAACATCACAGCCCTCACACATATCAAATGAGATCTGTGTAGCGCATATGTATTTGGTGCCTCCTTGTACCAATATCCATGTGTTTAAATAAATAAATAGTAATGATAGATCGGTTTAACAAATCAGTCATAACAAGGGAATCATGTATGATATTATCTAATCTAAAATGGTTTACCCCCCCCTCATGTTTTTACCTGCTTCGGTTTGAGCACCCGAGCAGTATTCCAGTCCTCATATAAATCGAATGATTAAGTGTTTAAATAAAATAATATAAAATAAATACATTTTGTAACTTAACCCATCAAAGGAATTATCGAATGTAAATAGAAACTTATAATAAAGCGTAATTATCAAACATCCAATATACAAATAGACAAATTCACTAGACTAATACTTTGTTCTATTTAGAACTTGTCAAAAGGATGCATTTGCATTTCAGTACTGATGTTCATAATAAAACACAAACTCAGAGTACTTATCCTATCAAATACCCAAGTAAAATGAAATAAACATTAAGAATTTCATTGTTAGTCATGTATTCATTATAATAAAATGTTATATAATAAGGTAAACTTTAGATGGTAGTTGGAGGTAGTCAACAGGAAACCCTGACTACCTCCAACTACCATCTAAATCTCAATACATAGTGCCCGCAGTGTCGAGTCACCTAGACTGGTGGCCACATTGCAACATTATCGATAGCATTCGATCTGCACTAATAAGGACTAGACAAGCATGACATTGATCACCACCCAGTGATCAATCAATTGTGAATAAGGTAAACTACTCAGAATGTATATAAGACAATAAAGATCATTCACTTATAATGTTGAATATTAAATTATTAAAAGTTATCTTTCTTACTTTGAAATTTCATTTGAACTTTCATATTTTACGGAAGTGATATTTCTATTCTCAGTTGATTTATGTTGACTCCAATCATCATTCTTGTCTTGATTATTGTTTTCATGATTATTATTATTATCTTGATAATTTTTTATTGTAACATGATCTAGATCTGTTTCACGCCATGCTGGTTTCCCATTTTTTTATTCAGAATAAGATCAGTTTTTGTAGCTTGATAACGAAAATATGAAAATAGATCTTGATCAATATTAGACATTGTTTAGTATAATTATATTCTAAATTTGATTACAATGTGGATCTCTGTGAAACACACACACATACACTTTTACACACAAATGATCTATGTTTGGGTTTACTTTCAGAGCAAAAAACAATATCCATTACACTGTCTATTTATAATGAATGATTATTGATTTTATGAGAAATACTCACTTTATAATTGTCCAATCAATGGTTCTGTTTTTATATATGTAAATATATACTAGAAAGTAATTAACCTTTAAAGTAGATTCATTTAGTCATTTACATGTATACACATTGCATACATTTATTGTTATAGACAGATTAATGTTTGTGTACTAATATGATTGGTTATTTCATAGTATTATGTAATCATTAGATACATATATTGCATAAACAAAAAAATGATAACCCTATGAAAGTTAAACAATTATATACTATCAAAATGATGACAAACCGAATAGTTGATAGACAGAATTGATCAATTTGAGAAAAAAATTAAAAGTACATCATTCAGTAAATAAAGAATTCATTATCATTTCACTGATTGAAATATCATGAGTTAATTGAAGCTAGACCACCATGGAATTCCTGGAAAGCACTGGATGGCCGTTTCGTCCTGACTTCAAGAGATACTCTTGGAGTTATAGTGAGAAGCCGTTAGCAGTGGAGTATAACCAGGTCTGTTGTGAGATATCAACTCACTGATGACAATGGTGTATGGTGGAGTAACTTCATGGATTGGTTGAAGTTAGACATTAACACCATTGGATGCCGGCCGGCTAAGTGGTCTAGTTGATTAAGCGCCTGGCGCGAGACTGATAGTTTCTGTTTTCGAACCTCGCGGGTTGCGGGATCGTGGGTGTGCGGTACTGAGGAGTCCCATACTAAGACGAAACGGCCATTCAGTGCTTCCAGGCTTTCCATGGTGGTCTAGCTTCAATTGACTCATGATTTCAATCAATGAGACTTCTAAAATCGCCACAAAACCCCTTCTGACAATTGATTATCATGTTAACGAGTTTTTAAGGCATTATTTAATGAGAGAATAGGAGCAATAATAATCAGACAAGGTTATCTGATATAATCTAATATTAAAATCTTTCTACACGATTATCATGTTTATTCGTTAACTATATTCCTTTATGAAATGAAGCTATAAAGTATATTGATAAAGCTTAGTAGAAAATTCATTGAGAAGTGATCTTTATCATCAAATTTCATGTTTCTAGTGTAATCTGCAATGTTTATAATCCTTAAGTAATGTGTTATATTCAGTAATTTCACTCATTTTGTGAGTGAATACTACAATGTTAGAGGGTACTTTTATTGTACTAAATTTGTGTTTTCCATCTATCATGTTGGACTGTACTAGATTGACATATTCATAGCAAATCGTTGGAAATAACTTAAATGGCATGAAATTAGATCTTTAATAAGAGTTATACTCTAATATACAACATTCACTCACTAAATGAACTGAAAAATGGATGAAGTTACTAAGCATATCATAATTAATTGAATAGATTAAATGTGACGAATAACCTTAGCAGTTGTCATAGAAACTGTAAATTTTAGATAAAAAAAAACAGATTTTACCCGAGAGTGACATGAATTAGCTAAAGAAAAGTTTAGAAAACTGTTTGATCAGTTCATCCCAGTTTGATACCTGTTATTAATATGAAAATGAGAATTCAGATGTTCTTTTTTTCTAGGAAGAAATATACACTGGTTACTATAAGAATTTAGATTAGTTGTTTGTATTTATCAAAAATATAAACTCTGTAATTAGTGTTATTAGTTTCATGGGGAGTATGATCTACAAAAGCAGTTTTCATTTCACTATAGTACTTTGGTGAATTACTTGAATATCTGGACTAGCTGTTCCTGACATCTATATATTTCAACAAGCTACCTGCTATTTGTTTGTTTGAACATCACATAAACCATTCAGGAACGTTAATGAAAAGTTTACGATCTTTCGTTGTACAACAGCGGCCTGCTTGAGCATCTGGGCTACCTGTTTCTGCCATCTAGATATTTCAACAAGTTATCTATTTTTGTTTGTTTTAATATATCATTATGTCTATTAATCGCATAACCTATTCTGCTGCGTTTCTGAAAAGTGTACAACCTTTCGTTGTCAAAGTTACAAGAAGCTCAATAGGAGACAATGCGGTTGCTGGCAATATACAACGAAAAGAATGTACATCATTCAGATGTTCATTTACTGGACTGCTAACAACTAACTGGCGATCACTCAATATTTATCGCCAAGACCGACCAAGAAGAAAGAAACGGAAACTTGTTGAAATACTTTGAACTGAGAATTCTATATCGTACCAAAAATATAATATTGAATAAAGCTAAAAATAATAATATTAATAATCTTACAAAAACGTATAGGCAGTGATTGGCAATATGCATTGAAAGGTATGAACATTATTAAAATGTCGATACTTGAATTACTAACATCTAAGCTGGCGATCACTCAGTATTTACTGTCAGGATCGTTTAAGAAATAAGAAAAGGAAACTTGTTGAAATGCTTTGTGTTGAAAATTGAATAAAGCCATTAATAATAATAATAATAATACATAATCTAAAATACAATCAATTATGAATAAAGATAATTTCTTGTTTGGTTGGATTATTTGTGTATTTTTTAAATTCGCTTATAAGTATCACAGTGTAAATTACATTAAAGTAATATATTTAAAGTTGAAATGTGTTAGTTAAGTTACAATTGGCAAGACTATAATTTATGGACGAACCATTTGGCATTATAGTTGATGTCAGTTCGTGATGAAAACTCTAAATCTAATTTCTAACCTTAATCATCAGCTATAAATTATAATTATAATTCATAACCCTCATTTAGTCCTGGTTACTAAGTGGACACTCTCAAGGTCAGTATGGCTTAGCTCAAAGGTCATCCATAAATTATAGTCTCACCTTACAACTTGATATTAAACTAATGAAATTGGTTGAGTTTTGGTCAAATAATTAGAATTGTTTAATTATATTTGTCAATAGTATACAATGTTTTTATAAATATCAATATAATGTTTCGGCTTTAGAGCTCATCATTGTTTTGAGTTGAGTAGTTGTATCTTGTAGCTCAGAGTATAAAACATTTTCTTTTAGGTTCTAAGTCATCAGCATCTTAAACTGGATTAATGCTAGTATATCATAAGTATTACATGAAACCAAATATTAAGTGTATAACAAATGTGAATAAATTTAATAGAAATGCTAAAAATAACGAAAACTCACCTTCATGATTCAATGATGGATTAGATTGAGGTGGTGGCGGTGGTGGTTGATGACGAATACGTCGATGTTCATTACTGTTTGCTTTATTTTGCATGTTATCGTAAGAATCGGTTATTGGTTGAGATTCATTTAAACTACAAACAGTTTGTTGACTAGTTACTGATTCCAGACTACTTAAATCATTCGATATTGATTCAACAATTGGTCGAGGTCTTTCATCTTGATGGTGATTTTGTTGATGAGGAAGAGGGGGATATTTAATACTGTTTACAAGTGAGTGTTTTTCATGTACATTATCAGTATTATCCTGATTGTCAATACAAACATTTTTTAATATATTTAGTTGTGAGTGAGAATTTTCAGACATATGATGAGATGATATTAATGGTGAATTAGAAGGTTTATGAGATTTGTATTTCTGTTTAGATGATTTGATTGGAGATTCTGTTCTTCTGTAATCTTCACTTTGTTGCTGACGCGTTGGTAAGTAACTATTACGGAAACTACTTTCATGATTGTGATACTGTCCGATACCTTCTTCCGGTTCATTCACAATAATATCTGATTCCGATGATGTAGTGTTAAATGATGAAGAATTCGATAGTAAGTGTTGTTGATTAATTTGTGAACTGGATCGGGCACCAACACTTTGAGGCTAATCATAAATATGAAGGAAACAAAATAGTATTCTGTGAGAAGAACATTCATATTAAAGTTTATTTATTCATACCAAACTGAGCAATAACCATATGAAGTATGAAACAGTTACTCATCAAATGTATTACTTATATTCAACAAATGTTTACCTTGATGCTTGATGTTTGCTGGTGTGGTTTATAAAGAAAGATTGGGGCTGTCAAACCAAGACTTAATATCAGTCTATGAAGCCATTAACTATTGGATCTAGCCGTGTTAATAGGTAAAAGTACCACTGCTTTTAGGGCTTACGCGATTATCATAATCAGTGATTGAAGAAGCTATATGACATGTTTTGAAATCGGTATCAATATTATGGATAGATCCAATCTTTAACTTGAAATATCTATGCTTTATAGTAGTGGGTGAGTACTATTGAGAAATTCCCAGAGAGGATAAAATACAAATTTGCGCCTTCGAAAATTTCATGAAATTATTAACGCTTATGAGTTTTATTAAAGAACGAAACCAGTATTAGATTTCCCTCTGTGTTCAACTGCATTTCAGTTGATATCAGACGATGAAGGAGGAGGAGGAGCAATTTTCTTTAAATTAAATCAATCCTCGTCAGTAACTAAAACATAAAAGGACTATGAGTTACTGTCAACACGATAATGAGTGAAGGTTAAGAAAGCATAGATTATTTTAACTTTTCAACAAGAAGTTTTAAAGTAATCCAATTGAACTATAGCAGACTTTTAGTTGCATTGGTTATTTCTAATCCGAAGAAAGAATTTCTCCTTTCGTTTCGTTACTTTGAGTGAAATTATAAGGGATGTGAAAATAAAACTTTCAATCAGTTATAGTCAAAATACAGCCTGACATAAATGTGTATTTTCCCAAGTTATCATGCCACATCAACATACTTAGACGAAATGGACAAGACGTTTATTAAAGAATACGAAATGATTTAGTAATAGTGACAATGTGATTGAGCAGACACTGAGAATATGTTTCGAAAAATCAGTTAAAATATGTGCATATATATTTATGTCTGAATCCACCAACACGGCTCAGACAAACAGTTCATGACTTCATAGGTTAAAGGCACATTTTGATTTGATGATCTTTGGCTTTCTTCCAGCTTACGTCTGTACTTGCTAACATCATCTGTTGAGGTAGGCATTGTTTGAACATACGTAATATACGTCCTAACTACTTCAGTCAATGAGGATTCACAAATGAAAATAAAATAATTGACAAAAAGAGGTAACTTCTGAGAGAATATCGTATGTTAATTTACAAAAATGAAAATTATTTAAAACTCGAATTGAATTGTGTGAATCAAAAATAACTTAGTGATCTGAGAATTTTCAGGTGATATTTGTCACACACACACATATCCTCTCCATTTCGGCTCGAACCCCCGACCTCAGATTAAAAGTCTGATGCTCTACCGACTGAGCTAACCGGGCTCGGTTTGAGCACCCAGGAAGTATCATAGCCCTCACACATATCAAATGAGATCTGTGTGGCGCATATGTATTTGTTGCCTCCTTGTACCAATATCTATAGGTTAAAATAAATAAATCCTCTCAATTAATTGATCCCCAGACCTTCAGGTCTTGTTTTATTGAACTTGTTTTCTTAACCGTGGAAATTAATTTTTTTCAATTTTTAATATGAATGTATTACGATGGATTCATTATATTTTGCAAATATTCTCGTTCTTGCTTTATATAAATTTATCAGAAAAGAGTTTTGTGGATATGTTAGTAATTTAATAGTTGAGTTCATAAATCAATAAAGCAGACCAACTGAATAAATAATGTATTATTATCAGTTAGTTGACGAGTACCACGTTAGGACGAAACGGTCCTCCAGTGCTTCCAAGTTTTCCATGATGGTCTAACTTCAATTGATTCATGAATTCAACTATTAAATGAGTTAAACTTATTGATCAATCAATTAAAAAATGAAGTAAATATTACATAATCAAACTTCATGATGTTAATTACTTAAACTAACATGAATGTCATCAATAAAATTGTTTCATTAACAAGTATATTAAAAGTGTTCCCTTGTACATGTAAACAATGTATAGGGAGGTGAGATAGATGAACTGAAAAATTGGCAACATGGATGACGTAATAATCATTAAAAAAACACCCATAGATTTAAACCGGATCTAAACAACAAGATGAGTGAAAATCACATAACGAAAACCATGACTACATTTTTGTCGTCATAAATTTGTAACAAACAACCAAGTTAACCATATGTGGTGGAGGATGATGATGATTATGAATGTATAAAGAGGTGTGAAAAAAATTAAATTATATTTACATTTTTTTGTTGAATAACAATCACTTTAGAAAAACACATCAGATTGTTTTGCATATTAATTATTGAAGATAAATTAAAAATATGATTCATATGATAATTATCAGTATGGGGATTTGTGAAGATAGTCGATCAAAACTAGGCCGCTACTGAAGACCTGGGAACACTGTATGGCCGTCTCGTCCTAGTACAAGTCTCTTTAGCAGCGTGCATCCACGATTTCTCATACGGGACTCGAACCTAGGATCTCCGACCCTATTCATACACTGCTGAGGAGTTCTAAACTAGGAAGAAACGGTCATCCAGTGGTTCCAGGTTTTCAGTAGTGATCTATCTTAAAGTGACTCTTAAATTCAATTGTGAAAATATGAAAACTGTTGAGTGTATAAAATAAAAGGTTTTAATATACTACAAGTGATTATGTGTTTAATGAAAGCGAGTAATTGTGAACTCACCAACTTCGTTACAAATCTTTTCAAACTAATTTGCAATTTTCTGAACAGTTGATTAGAAAACCTGATAATCAGATGTATGATCATAAGTGTCTTTTGTTGTCATACCAGTTGGTAAAGCTTGTTTTGGAAAGTTAGTTGGATTATTTATTTAGGGATAGAACTACCAGGGAGAGATTGTTATTGTTATGGAATACTTTTAATCAGTCGGATTATTTTTTACAAGTATATACTATTCCAGAAATTATACATTCCATAGCAAATACAGAGGCATAGATTCCTACGACCTTTGTAGGATGTAATGAGTAAATAAATATTTATCTATGTTTTGAAAGAGTGGTGGACTAGGCTGATCTTCATTTAGCTACCTACGTTATTTTATGGAACATGTCCCAAAGAAGTGAAGGTATGTACAGATTTTTACCTATGATAGTCACAGGCAATTTGTATTATTACGATTCCTAAATGAAATAGTTGTGCAAGTGAAATACTAAATCAGAATGTATCATAAATTAAAACTGTTAATATTTAATTCATAAACGGAATATTTTAAAATTCTGACACTTGTCAGTTAAATGTGCTACCATTCCAGTGTTGACATTTACATGAATACTGTAATTTCGAATCTATCGTTGCAAACTCAAATACGTATTCATGAAACTATTGAATTCATAATTGATATATTTTCGTTATTTCTATTTAAGAGTACAATTGATCAATCTATCTGAATAGGATTATCTTTTTTTAGATTACTGATTAACCAATTTATCATTTAACTGACTGTAATTTTTGAACAATTAAATGATTTCAGAAGGTGTTTGTGGAGATTTTAAAAATTTCACTGATTGAAACCATGAGTCAATTGAAGCTAGATCACCATGGAAAACCTGGAAGCACTGGACAGCCGTTTCGTCCTAGTATGGGACTCCTTAGCAATGGGCATTCATGATCCTGTCCCCCCCGCGAGATTAGAATCCAGGAACTTTTAGTCTCGCGCGCGGGCGCTTAACCAACTAGACCACTGAGCTGGCTGGTATCCAACGCTGTTAATGTCTAACTTCAACCAATCCACGAAGTTGCTTCACCGTACACCATTGTCATCAGTGAGTTGATATCTCACAACAGACCTGGTTATACTCCACTGCTAACGGCTTCTCACTATAACTCCAGGAAATGCCTTTTGAAGTCAGTCACTAGTGAGGAGATGAGCGCACTGCTGAGGAGTCCTATAATAGGACGAAATGGCCATCCAGTGCTTTCAGGTTTCCCATTGTGGTCTAGCTTCAGTTGACTCAAGATTTCAATCTGTGAAATTAAATATTTATAAACAAAGATGGATAGTTTCAAGCAGTGAAATCCACATATTGACATATAAATATAAAGGTGATATGATATGATATATGTATATGTAAATCATGTTGTTGCTAAGCTTTCAATAATGTTAATATGATCATTGAAAAAATTCGTTTCAGATAATTGAATTGTATGGAGGAAGGTTCCAGAACATTGAAATAATGATTAAAACAAATTTTATAGGAGTACGTAATAAATCAATAAATCAATCGATAATGAAGAATAATATCATTTGAAAATTAATCAATAATGAATACCTTAGAAATGAAGTAATGATGTAATCAAAATATGAGAACAATTTGAAATAATATGTGATGCAATAAAACAAATGTAATATATAATACCAGAGTAAAGAACGATTTATTACCATTTCTTTCTGAACATATCAATGTAGTTTTAAGCAATTGATCTTGATACATTCAGTTAATTCATGAAAATTAGAATTTAATTGTTTATAAACGCTTTTGAAAGATTTCAATGTATCTCTTGGAATCACCGTTTAATCCGTATATCTTTTTAATAGTTAAGCATTTTTTTGAGTGCTGATAATTACCATGTGCTCACTAGTGATTAGCTTTGCGAGGGAATTCTCGGAGTTCTAGTGAGAAGCCGTTACCAGTGGAGCTAATCCGTGTCGGGTAGAGACAAGTGTCTACCTTAGTATAATGGAAGATGGTCACGCAATCTCGTGGATTGATTGAAGATGGACATTAACACAACTGAACGCAATAGGACGGGACGATCGTCCAGTCCTTCTAGGTTTTCAATAGTGGTATAGCATCTCTCGGTTCATGATCTCAATCAGTAACTTCATAATCTTCACAACCCTATACTGATAAGTTTTTTAATACTTAGATTTTACATTCAGTGTTTAAGTTTATGAATAGGTTCAAAGGAATGAAATCTTATGATGTTTCATGAAATGACTGAGTACTATTCTGTGTAGTCATCTAAATGCATTCTCTATAGACAATCCAAAATAATTTGAACATATTATAATGATCAATGTTGATTGAAAAATGCTGTGTTACAAAGGCATATTTATAATCTAGGCGGAACTGATGCTTACCAGCGAGACTTCTACATTCACTTACTAATGTCACAGTATTGTATATTATCAAAAAAATATCCGAATAGTAAAACAATTCCTGGAAGACTGAAATATTTGCACGGGATAAATGTATAAGTAATTAATTTTTTACTAATAATCTTACTCTGTCATTTTTTTCTGTAATACGAGTTCTGTTTCTCCTTGAACGTTTGGGTGAGTGATTTGATACTGCATTATTATCCGTATAGTTTTCATTATCGTCTAATTCGACCATATCGTCATCCATTCCAACTTGAGCTAGATTCAATGATGGTGTAGATCGACTTAAAGAACCAATCTTTTGTTTTGATTTATCTAACTGCTTACTTTTATCGATTCGATGTTGATTATGACGTGATGTGTATGTATTGTCAGGTTTATCGATATCCATCTGTTGTTGTGTATAGTGGTGATGGCGATGAGAACGGGAGTGATTTCTGGTAGCCTTTTTATCAGTAGTATTTCTTGATAGATTATCTACAGTATTATGATCTTGTTGAGTATGGATCCGAAGCTAAAATTAACATGATTGAGGAATATACGTATTCAAATAAAATTTATGTACATGTATTTATAATGTAATGTAAATTGACTGTAGTATTTATGATAGGAAAAGAAGCGGGTTCAGGTTTGTAGATTTAATTTTTATACTACTTATATAAATCAGAAGTAGACTAAATCTTAAACAGTATTCAGTACTGAACCATGAAAATGCATGATTTCATCGTTATTATATCGGATGAGATGCATAAAAGACTCTATACTTCACAATAATTTACGTAACAAGGTGTTGCATACATTTTTGTACAATCATTTCTCATTAATGAACTATTTGATTTTACTGTGATTACAAATAACGTACAATAAAACTTGTTGCTTATCGTACTAAAAACAGATGAGATTTCGTAATACTGATATGTCGTAGATATGACAATCTTTGACATCCCACTACTTTGCTCAAATCTATTTCAATGATTAGCGGTCTTAAAAACTAAAAATTGAATTTACATAGTGAATTCAATTTGTAGATTTTTATTGAAATCATGAACTTATCTGAGTTAGACCAAAACTGAAATCCTAGGATCATTGAACGGCTGTTTCATCCTAGTGTGGGATTCCTCACCAGTGCACACCCACAAGCGGGAATTAAGCCCTGGGTCTACGGTTTCGCGCACGAACGCTTCATTATCTCAATGAATTTCAAGAATTTCCACAATCCTCTATTGACATCTGTTTGTAGATATTATAAAAATATAAGCCAGATAAAACGAACGAAATGCTATCAGATATATGCACAGAAACCTCTACAAAAATATTAGTGAATATGCCGCTAACTTTCAAGAATGAAAGATGACACACGACCGATAAACCAGAAAGCCAAATTATAGAGGAATACTTGAGAAACGGTGGCTATTCATAAAAGTCCATTGATAAGTATGAAAACATTGAGGTGGAAAAGTTTAAAGAAGCTACAATCAGTAGACAAACCGTTTTCATTCACCTCAGCTGCTAAGTTAATGACGATATTACAGGAATAATTAATTTCAAAATGACAGTACACCAAACGACACCTATCTCGTCACCAAACTATCCATCTTGTATAAAACGTATTCATTAATACAATTAAAGGTGTTGAACAAATTCATTTCTTTATCTCATGTATAAGTAGATCTTAAATAAAGTAATTGATCACTAATGGTCATGTCTAGAATAATTTTGAAACTTTCTACAACTACACTATCTAATTCCCTGCTTCGGTTTAGTCACTCGGTCAGTATCCTAGCCCTCACACAAATCGAATAATTTATGTGGCGTATATCTATTTGATAGACAGCCAATGTAGAAGCAGTCTCTGCATCAGTAGGCCTCAGCATACACAAGGGGAAAACCAAGGTCCTCAAATTCAAAACGAAGAACAACAATCCAACCACTCTTGATGGCGAAACTCTGGAAGATGTAGAATCCTTCACATACCTGGGAAGCATCATCGATGAACAAGGAGGTTCAGATGCAGACGTAAAGGCAAGGATTGGCAAAGCAAGGGCCGCATTCCTACAATTGAAGAACATATGGAACTCAAAACAACTTTCAACCAATATCAAAGTGAGAATCTTCAATACGAACGTCAAGGCAGTTCTACTGTAGGGAGCTGAAACTTGGAGAACTACAACAACCACCATCAAGAATGTACAAGTATTTATAAATAGCTGTCTACGCAAGATACTCAACATCCGTTGGCCGGATACCATCAACAACAGCCTTTTGTGTGAGAGAACAAGCCAGCTTCCAGCTGAAGAAGAAATTAGGAAAAGACAATGGAAATGGATAGGACAGACATTACCCAAACCATCAAACTGCATCACGAGGCAAGCCCTAACCTGGAATCCTGAAGGGAAGCGTAGAAGAGGAAGGCCAAAGAACACATTACATCGGAAAATAGAATCAGATACGAAAAAGATGACTAACAGCTGGAAGGAGCTGTACAGGATTGCTCAGGACAGGGTTGGATGGAGAATACTGGTGAGTGGCCTATGCTCATTCACGAGGAGTAACCGGCGTAATTAAGTAAGTAATATCTATTTGATACCTCCTTGTATCAGTGTTTATGTTTCTAAATAAATAAATACACTGTCAAATTCAGTGAATTCAACTACACTAAAATGTCGTCAATTTTTTTTAGTATGAAAAAAGTGCTCAACTTACATCGGGTTGACTTTGATTTAAATGTAATAGATCATGAATATGATGTTTATTCTCTGAAGGAATTAAAGATAATTCAGTTGATTGTATATATCTATTATCATGATTTATATGATTATTAGAAGTTGAATTTATTATTGTTTTTGGCTTAATTAATTCAACAATTTTATGATAGTGAGCTGCTTTCTTAGCAATAATCATTTGTATACCATCATCAGATTTATTTTGTTTAGATATTTTTGCAACAGCATCAGATTGTGCACAACCAATTAAATTTGTATTACCAATAATTAATATTTGATCACCAGTTTTTAAACGACCATCTTGATCAGCTGAACCATTTGGTACAATATCTTTAATATAAATTCCATATAAACGATGACCTTCAGCCTATTTGAAGTTGGCGGTTGGCAGAGGAGTGAAAGAGAAAGGGGGTAGATGGTGAAGAATAAAATAAATAGTAAAATAAAACAAAAAATTCTTATTTTGATTAAATGAATTGTAATTAGAAATGTAAGCTAATAAATATTTATACGTGAGACCTGATGGTCAGTTGGGGAGATCCAGAAAACTCCTCGAAAAAAGCCAACAAAGGCTCTGAAAACACTGAGAATCATCCTAGATGTTTTGCCAGAAGCATCTAGAAAGTGAAAAGTCACATGTAGAGTTCCTGATTGGCTGATTACTACACTGCTACTATGTTTAGTAGTATTCTAGAATTTTTGAGAAACCCAAGGACATCTAAAATATTGTAAAAAACCCTATATATTTTGTACAGAAAGGAACCTTTGGAATAAAGTGTTTCTCCCGTATTTCGAGCCTTTTCTCTCGTGTTCAAGTCGCTGTGTAGTTCTAGCCTGAGAGTTACTAGAAGAGCTTAGGAACCGAATATAACGTTCAAGTAGCAAGACTTATCAAGGTCTTAAGCTTAATTTCAGATTGAGTAATGAATATGTGTTGCTAAGAAATCATATAAACAAATAAAAAATGTGTTCAGTTCTGCCAAATTTTTAAAAGTTACTTAGCTAAAATTAGTTGTAATGTACATTAAGTAAATAATATTTTATAAAATTGTTCAAAACATGCAAAAAACAAACAAACAAACATAACACAATTAGAAACTTGAGTTATTTAGTTGATCGGTGAAAAATGAAAAAAAAGGAACCACTTATCAGTAATGAAATACATTAACAATAATAAGGATTATCAGATAGACCTGTTTAGCTAATAAGTAAATCAATGTTAAGAAAATATCATCATTTAACATTTTATATAAAAAAAATCAAAGATAATGAAATTTAAAGTTAGTTTAAAACAAGGATCTTTAAGGAAAGATGGATAGTGGCTAGCAGTGGAATCCAGGACGCGCGTTTCGTCCTGTTTGGGACTCGTCAGATGAATGTACCTGCATCTCAGAGTTGATGTTCATTCTGAGACTCGAACTCAGTACCGTTCGTTCCAGATGCCATCGCGTTATCCACTTAGCTACTGAGTCCTGTTAGCCACTTGCTTGTGAAATGGGATAAAATTTAATCCACTTGGTATTGTTTTACTTGAATCGTTCCATTGATGTTTTAGGACTGAAATTGATCAGTTGACAAGTCCCAAACAGGACGAAACGCGTGTCCTTGATTCCATTGCTAGCCACTATCCATCTTTGCCTATAATGCTTGTAAATTAAAGCAATATCGAGGCATACGCACAGTATGTACATATGTCAATAAGAGAAAGATCAATTTCAGTCCTAAAACATCAATAGGAATATTCAAGTAAAAAAACAATACCAAGTGAAGGATCTTTAAGAATCAAAATTGATAGAAACATAAGGATAGTTCTCTTTTAAACAAATCAACATTAACTAGTAAACTAATAAATAACTGGATGGACGGCATAATTGTTTCTTTTTTTTTGTTCCAGTTCTCCAGTTCTAATCACTCTATACTCATAACATAAAACAGTATAGAAATTAAGATTATCAAATCTTATAACTAACACTTTTAGTTTAGATTTGCGAGTTGATATCCATTTATCCAAATATTCAAATATAACAAATTCTGTTATTGAAAATCTTAGATTTATCACAAACCATGGCTAGGGTATTAAGATAGATATTTCCAATATTACATGTAACCTTAAGAGATTACTCATATTATATTGTTGAATAACTCAATCAACTTTTATTCATACTCATTTAGAGTCTGTAGATTTTGTGTAAATTCAAAGTCATAAGTTGACAGTTTTCGAAAGACAATTAAAATCATGAGGATTTTATAATAGTTAGCTAGATATATATACATCCTGTTGTTAATATTCACATTTGAACTTAAATCCGGGTAAATTTTACTTGGATCGCCTATCTAGTGAGTTACTGAGTTTAAACTGTTACTTACTTGGGTATGAATTTTAATATAATTTGTAGGATTATGAATGATCTCATTACTGATATTCTTGGATGAATTTTGATTTCACTACTATTCTATCTAAACCTGTGACATCATATCCATATTAAGGCAGTCTATTCAGATTGTATATACGCCAACTTAGACTTGATAAACGTTTAGGGAAGAAAATATGGCGAGACTCTAATTTAAGGACGACCTTTGAACGAATCTTAAGTGACCTTGGCAATTATTAGCCAATCAGAAGAAATTTAGTATAAAGTGAAAATATATTATATGAATGTAATGAATTACAGTGGATATTCTCCTTTTACATGATTTAAAAACTTGTTAAGGTTTGATTAAGGTTCAGAGGTTCTGAATTCATAATGCATATGGAATAGAAACTCGTCCATTGGGTTAGGGTTAGGTTTACGGGTAAGGTTAGGGTTTAGGGTTAAGGTTAGGGTTAGGATGCTAACATACGAGTTTTTAAATCATGTAAAAGAAGAATATCCACTGTAAATTATTACTTTCTTTTAATATATTTTACTTTATGCTGTCTTCTGATTGCCTAATAATTGAAATTGCTCAAACGCCTCTGATTGGCTCGTCCCTAAATCAGAGTCTCGCCGTCCCATTTGTTGTAACCTCTCATTAATCACCTACTTTCTAAAATGCGCTGTGAACCGATCGTATGTTAGCATCGCGTGTTGAACTTGGCTCCGTGACCTTGAAATTGCTCAAACGCTTCTGATTGGCTCGTCCCTAAATTAGAGTCTCGCCGAAAATATTATTAACGGAATAATTCAAATGATTACATATGCTTAATTATATAAGCATAAATATTACCTTCAACATTGTTTATGTAACAGATGAATTATAATATTTATGATAATGTCAGTTTTTGAACATAAGCACTTGAAGCTAATTCGGTATATTGATTCCTATTCCACTGGAGATCATGACATTTTCCAAGATTATAAATGGTTCTTGTCGATATGTACTGTTCAGGACAAAACCTAGATGTAAAGCTTTCTATAGATTTCTTCAAATCAGACCGTACCAACCGAAAGCGCATTACTATATCGAGTCATTTACACTAGTAGTAATTTGATTGGCAGTAATTAATCACTATTGAGAAATATAATACTCAAAACTGACTGATTACTGACCAACATCTCATTTCTTTAATTCCTTAGTGCTGACCAAATCCCATCGATTAAGTTACAATGTGACTACTAGTCTAAATGACTTAAATATCTTGAACCTACAGGAGATCAGCTTCAGACCAAATGACTCAGTCTGATACTAAGAAATTGAATGATACAAGTTAAAATCCCTTAGACAACATTAATTCCTTCAGGATTATAAATTCGTCTTAATAATGAATGTTAATTAGTCAGGAAGTTAAGCTTTCATTTTCCTACAGACGTAGGGTATTAAGGAATGATGGTAAGTCGGTTGGTGAAGTTGTGAATCTTCACCGACTGAGATGGTCGGGCCACGTGTTACGTACGCCTGAACATCGATATTTGGAAGAAAGTAAGGGGGGGGGCAAACCAAAATGTGGCATCAGTGCTTGAAGTCACTAACTTCTAGTCTGAGCCATGTTGGTAGATTCAGACTACTCGGTTGGGGTCCGCGTGACTATCGTAACCAATGGTTGAAGACTGTGGGTGACATGGCTCAGGATCGATCACAGTGGCGTAGGTTTATACACTCTTTATCTTCCCTTAAACCGTGAGGTTAAAAATGCTCTATACCTTTTACTCTACGAACTGAGTGTTTCTCCCTGTATCATATCCTTTTATGAAATCTTTTTTTACTAGCATTGAAGTAACAGCTTCTATGAATTTGGTATGGCAATTCGGACTGTTTGTCTTCTCTTAAACTATGAGATTAAAATCGCTTCAGATCTTTCGATCTACCAACTAATTCTTTCTTCCTGTACTATGTCCTGATATGCAATCTTTCTTTAATATATTACCAGCACTAAATGAAATACTTCGTTGAATTCAATGTTCACCATGTTGTGCTCATGTGGTATGGCAACTTGGACTGATGTAAATATGTGCCTGGTCCTACGTTGTAGTTGACTGACTAACTGACTGACTGATTGACAGACTACTTATAACCATTTCACAATACTTATTACAAAACTGATCACTCAATTTATAAAACAATATAGATCAATTAAATGATATATAATAATATAATGAAATAATAATTACTGATTACATTAGCACTTACTTTAGCAGCTACTATACTTAATCCTAAACTATTATTGATTTTCTTTAAGAATATTTGTGTTATTGATTTGATTGGTACATTAGCTTCTTTAGCTAATTGTTCAAAATTAGCATAACTTAAATCAGGTAATGATATATGTGTTCTTATATCTTTATGAATTGGTATTGATTTTTTTATTGATTTTTGTAAAGTACCATTTAATGATTTATTTGGTTGATAACGTACAGTTTGTGTAGAAAATTCTTTTAAATGACTTCCACTACTATCAACACTATCAGTAGTAGTAGTTGCTGTGGTACTATTCAAACTACTATTTGAATTTGTTAAATTTTGATTATTCTGTAAATGATTAGTATCCAATTTATTTTGTTTTAATTTTTGATCACATTTTTGTTGTAGAACCTGTTGAGTATTATTATTATCATTATTATTACGATTTTTATGAATTTGATTTTGTGTTACTTTCAATATGGAATGTTGATTATGATTGTCATGTTCAGTTTCATGCTGTAAGAGGATTCGTTACAAAAAAACGAAAGAAAGAAATCATTATGTAACTGTAATAATAACACAGAATCCATGTGAACTACAGAATCTGGAAAATTTGTTCTTGATATTTAGGGCTTGTATAATTTGTTAAATATCATAGTAATTTCAATGGTTAAGATCATGAGTCAATTGAAGCTAGACAACCCTGGGAAACCTGGAAGAACTGTACGGCCGTTTCGCCCTATTGCGGGACTCCTCAGCAGCGCGCATCCACCACTTCGCACCCTGCGAGATCCGAACCCAAGACTACTGGTTTTGCGCGCGAGCACTTAACCACTAGACTTCTGATATTAATCGACATATGCTCACTAGTGACTGGCTTCAAGGGGTATATCCTGAAGTTCTAGTGAGAAGTAGTGAGCAGTGGAGTTTAACCAGGTCTGTTGTGAGATAGTAACTCACTGAAGACAATGGTGGATGTGTCGCTCAACTTCGTGGATTGTTTGAAGTTAGACATTAACACCGTTGGATGCCGGCAGGCTCAGTGGTCTAGTGGTTAAGTGCTCGCGCGCGAAACCAGTAGGTCCTGGGTTCTAATCTCGCAGGGGGAGGTGGTGGATGCGCGCTGCTGAGGAGTCCCGCAATAGGGCGAAACGGCCGTCCATTGCTAATAGGTTTTCCATGATGGTCTAGCTTCAACTGACTCATGATCTAAAGTATTAAATTACTATAATATCCACAAAACCCATTAAGTATTATAGTGTAGATCATAGACTAATCTTAGACAGAGAACTGTTAAAAACTAATCAGTACTGAGTAGATGTTTGTCTTTAGTGTTGAACTATTTAGCAGTGCTTTTTCACGCTTCTGTCTAGGATTAGACTCGGGACCTTTATATTCTCTTGACGAGCGTCTAATATTTATATGAGTGAGTTGACGTTTATCAACTACAAAATAGTTACTTCATTGAATGCATTGATCAGGCGTTAAAATACATAAAGAACTGTGTGTCGAGATTGTGATTTGATTTTATATTCTTTGTAATTCATTTGTTATTTTCTGAGTAATACAATCAATAAACCAGTTATAACGTTCAGCTTGTCTAACTTATTAAGATACTAAACCATACTGGTTGAAAAAGGAGTATTTTTTGAAGTCATTTCACCTACATAACATCAAGATATAGGAAACTGAAACTTAGCTATTTTTAAACTGTACTCAAGTCAGCTATAACAAAAAAATATGTCCCTGTAATCTTACTGAGAAACCATAACTGTTAATGTTCTTTTATGTCAGGAACGAAACAGATAACACTGCCTTTTATTAATGAAAGTTGTAATAATTCTCTAAGTAACTAAAATCAGAAATCGGAATCATGGCATTCTCAATTGAATGGCTCAATAATTATCGTATTCATTGGAGATTTTAATGTTGTTGGGTTTGATCTCATGCTATGGTTACTAGTCCCCACAAACTGATGATTCTTGAACTAAAAACATAAATCTGTATATAACTACCTTAAAATTAATGATAAAATCATCTCTAAAATTTAAACATTTCGAATAAGAAATATTACATGTTCATTTAAACCAATGAAAGAAATCTATTAGATCATTAAGAACAGGATGACGACAACATGAATAGTGGTTAGCAGTGAAATCCAGAACGCGCGTTTCGTCCTATTTGGGACTCATCAGCTGGATGTACCGGGTTCGAGTCCCGGAGTGAACATCAACTATGAGATGCAGGTACATCCAGCTGACGAGTCCCAAATAGGACGAAACGCGTGTTCTGGTTTCTACTGTTAGCCACTATACATCTTTGCTTAAAAAGCTTGTGACTTAAGGCTATAACGAGGCAATTCGCACAGGATGCACATATGTCAACATGAGACTGATCAATTGCAATCTTATATAACAATGCGAAGATACAAGTAAAACAACACTAAGTGAATTCAGAATGATAATAGTTCAATAAAAAAATACTTTTCATTTTGATTCTGTCTTTATTTAAACTGCACTATCATCTTTATAATTAACTTCACTGATGGTAAGGTTCAATAAACTAGAAGGATACTGTGTCATTTAACAAAGTTATCAAAAGTTATAATAATTCATTAACTGTATACAAAATAAGGATACATATTCAATTCATTATTGTCTTAAGACACCTTTCCAATTTTACAAGTTATCTTCTTTTCATTCATAAAGTAATTATTTCTTTTATAAATAATTATTTTCAGAATAGAGTTGTGTAGAGATTTAAGTATTATAACAATTGAATTCATGAGACGATCTAAGTTAGATCACTAATGAAAATTTGGCTATCCAATGTTTCCAAGTTTTCAGTGACAGTCTAGCTTAGATCAACTCATGAATTCAATTATTAAAATAATGATTTATTAAAACGTAACTCAAAAGTAATATTAAAAGGGTCTTTATGGATATTATAGTAATTTCAATACTTTACATCATGAGTCAATTGAAGCTAGACCATCATGGAAAACCTATTAGCAATGGACGGTCGTTTCGTCCTATTGTGGGACTCTTCATCAGTGCACATCCATGATCTCGTCTCGCGAGATTCGAACCCAGGATCTATCGATTTCGTGCGAGAACACTTAACTTTTAGACCACTGAGCTGGCCGGCATCCAACGGTGTTAATGACTAACTTCAATTAATCCATGAAATTGAGCGACACATCCACCATTGTCTTCAGTGAGTTACTTGAAAAACAATGTTTAATAATTTTTAGTGACATAATATCACTCTATTTTACACTATACAATATCGTATATAAAACTGATTGTAAAAATGATTACATAATTTTTTCTAAATGATATAAATGTAAAGAAAAGCTTTCTCCAATAAACCATCTTCATTTTGCTTAGTGACTTAATTCATGCCCTTTGGTGTTTGAAGAAACTTAACTATATATGATATTCCTGATTTATAACGTGTGGAATTCAGAAATGAAATTTTACATTTTATTGTGATAGTTAGTTGTAAGTATTATTTACTTATGAAGTAAACTTTCACAATGACCTGACATCAATTAATATACTACTCATTTGTTTCTTGGTTCAAGACTCTTCAGTTTTTGCACATCCTTGACTACAGCATGAGAATAAACCCAGGAATATTCAGGTCTCTCAGTAACCATTAAAAATACAGGGGCTCAACCATCCAATTTTAGTTAGTTAGGAATTTAATACAAGCATCAGTCAAAGTCATTTAGTTATTATATTAATAATTTAAAAATATGACAACACATCTTAAATGTTTACTTACCATTGATAGTCGCATACAATTAGTCCATGGTCGATTCTCTAATTGTCCATTTACAATTGAATGCTTTCTCACTTTAATTAAACCAGTTTTAATTAAAGGATGTAGAAAATCCAACAGACCATCTGGAATACCGCTAAGTACAGCATCGGATACATAACCATCAGCTGGTAATAATAAAGGAATTGGTAGTTCTTTTAATTCATTCAATTGTAATTCAGACAATGTATGATCAGATTGTCCTGTATTAATATTATAATGCTCGATTTCATCAGCATATGCACGGTCATTAACCTGAAAAAGAATATAAGTGAATAAGAGGAAAACAAACGGGGAAAAATTAGTTCGTTTTACAGTACTATCAGGGTACTGTAAATGTCAGATCCGAACGAAGAGTAAATGAATGGTAACCGCTATGAATTGTTTGTGGACTATTATTACATCATTCTTATTGAATAGCTATTAAATAACCATATCATATGTATATTCATATTACTTTCATCATAAGCTTTCATTTGACATATTGGTTACTGTTATACGATTTAATATTCTTAATTTATTTCCAATTTACTAGCTATAGTTTCCCATACTCATATAGAACCAAAATGAACAGAATTAGTTGTTTGTTACAGAAAAATAATTTTTCTAGTCACAATATACATGAGCTGCAGAAATATCTGAATATATATTGAAACTACTTGTTATTTAATAGTAGTGTAACGTGAGCAACCTATTAATTCGGTCACTTTAACCAATCTAGCAAGCTATATTTTATAATTGAACTTCAATATATAGTTTTAATAAACAACGTTACTTTATTTATTACTAATGATCGAGTAGGTTCATGGTCATTAGTTTAAGTCACTTAATATCGCATACACACTGGGTTTTATATTTAGATAATTAGAAGTAACCAGTGAGAATCTCTGATCGTAAGTTTTGTGCAACTTAACATTCATTAATTAAGCGAAACTGTAATCGTGAGGGGGAAAATGTTCCTCACCACTGGAGTTATTACTATGTTAGAAAAGATTTATTTCTCAGGTGGATGATTCTAGTGGAGTTTCGTCCAGTGAGCTGAATGATTTAATCGTGAAGCTTTCATTGTCCTTCTAAAGAATATCATCGCTACACATTTCAGATAGAAGTGAAGTAGTCAAATTTCTTTTCATATAACTGATGGTCTATCTTATCGAATTCGATGTCGCTAAGTTTTGCTGATCTCTGTCTTTGATTGTCTCTTCCTTTGATCTGATTCTTGATCTTAAAGGTATTAATGAGTTTTCTAATTGGTTGATAAATTAGAACGATCGTGACAAGGTTCTAAACATTTTCCAGTCTTCTTTGTATTCGTTCTAATTACAATCTTAACGTTTTCACAGATTAAAATCTGTCCAGAACTGTCCTTGTGCATGAATATAAGGAAATATACATCATAGTTTTTGATAGCTAGTTGATGTTCATGCATACGAACACGGAGAAGGTACCCACATTGTCCGATGAAGTGTTCCTCATAGTTTGAACAGTTATTTTGTAGATGATGTTTGGTTTTTCTTCTTGTTTTCAAGTCATCCTTTAGTTTTAATAAAATTAATTGAAGTTATTTTGTTGGTTTATGCTCTAGATGTATTCAAAACAACCTCCAAATTCTTATTCTAACTTCTAGTACATCATTTACATATAGTAGGATGATCCATTTGTTAGTTTTCACAATTGACTTCGTCGTTGATGATGAGTTCGACTGATATTTTTTTGTTAAAATTGCATGGATAGCCATTCTTTAGAAAAATAGTCATTAAATAAGTTTTTTATTTGTTCGCTCAGCAAGTGTACTGCAGTGCGTCTTCGCTCTCTTAAATAAAGTTTATATTCAGCTGATTTTGAATTCTTGAGTTGTTGTTACAGTAGTTGAGAATTTGATCTATCCGGGTTGGCTTCTCCAGTTTTCCTGTGTTATTTCTGTTTATCAACAAATCAATGAATGACAGTTTATTGTTCGAATCCCTTTCTATCGTGGATTTTATATTGTTGAGGACGTTATTGATCAAGACGAACAATGAAAGGTCCTGAACTAAACCACTCAGTTCCGAGAATGAAACTTCACTAAAAAGGTTGTTACTATATCAGGCAGATGAAATTGGTAAAACAAATGTTTTATGGTAGATAAATAGATGACTGATATTTAGCGGTTATCAGTAAGGATCCTGAACCTAAATTTCATGCTATTCTTCTTGAGTGAATTAACGTACCCTGTAAGGTTTGAACCCGTGTTATCTAGCTTTAAAATATCTTTCTAAATATAATACCATCATTTACATGCTAAATTCAATGAGCGCTAAACTATCAGTTCAAAACTATGCGAGATTTCATGCTTTCTTTATTATATGTAGATTTCTTGTTTACGTGTTACAACGTATATGATTACAAAAAAATAATTTATAACGAGGAAGTCAAGTGTACAAGAAGTATAAGTTTCCTTGAAACTGCTAGTGTCTCATATTGATGAATACCAAATAGCTGTGACTGACGTCTTGTAGGAATAAAGCATTTACATCTGATTGGTCAGTGAGCAGTGCGCAATGTAATGTTTAGTTTTGATTGGTTTCTGTCAGTATGGGTGACATGGGTTACAGATACGTCGTGTTGACGAATACTAACTAGCATCAAATACATGATGTGGATTCGTGGTTGTTTACCTCCAACCACCCAACATTTCAACATAATGATTTGGAATTACTTAAAACAATGCCCATAGTGAAATTTGGTCGATAAGGAGTAGGTAAACAAGGATATTATTTCATTCCTAGTGATTAGTCGAGTATATACCTAATAGAAAGCGAAATCTAAAATAATCATACAAAGAACAACACATTAGGTTATAATCATACTTCAAGTTGACTTACCTCCTTGGCTCCAGTCACAATTAAATCAATCCATTCATCAGGGACAGGTGGTGGATCAGATAAATGAGCTAATAACCACTCTAATTGAATACTATTTAACGAAATTAAACTTATACAATGTTGATAGAATTCATCTAAATTGGTACGATTAGCCATTATCAATTGACATGCCTGAAAGATTAGTATGATATAGAAAGGAAAAAATTACTTATTGAATAGACATTATCAAATTTAGTTGAACACTGTCCAGATAACTTATTGGTAATGTCTACCAATGTAATACTGAAGGTTAATGTCATAAATTTAAATAATCTTATTTAAATGAAGCTATACTGAACATTTCGAACAAAACAATAGGCTGTTTACCATAATTAGAGATCAATAGGTACCCCATTCATGTTATCGCTAACTGATTAAATAAATTAACATGTACCTGCTAAATCATTTGCATTAGTAGATTAGAAAGACGGTCCTATGTTGCAGATTCACATTTAACCAAATACACTGTTATAAGTATGCTAACTTTATAATAATTATGATTTTAAAATATGATGGTTCATAAGCATTTGATTAGGACCAAATGAAATAAAATGAACTCATGGGATTCTGTTCAATTCTTTGTTCTTGTTCTCTTCAAAAACTAAACAATCTAACTTACTCATAAAACATAAGCCTTTCTATTAAGCTTGGAGCTACAATTTCTCTCCGTGAAAACTCGAGATATGGTCCTTTAACGTAAACTGAAGTAAGTGCTGTAGGGTTCGAACTGCATATTTAAGGGATAGAAGTTGAACACCCTCTAAACCCACAAGAAATATGTGTACAACTTAGCTAGTAAAATTATTATCTTCGAGTGATCCCTACTTAGGTCTTGATATAAAATAAGTTAGAAAATTTTATTAGTGCAGGATTCACAGTACGCATGTACGCTTTACTTCTAGACCATCGAGTCGAGATTCGACTGTGTACAAGGTTAATTTCAATCAATTCATGATAGTGCATGATTATTTTCTATTGCTTTCGATGCGTAACTTCCTCACACTCAACACTGTTGACCCAGTTCTAGGAAATTCTGAATTGATTTTCTGAAATAATAATGCACAGATAGGTAAACCAGAAATAATTCTTCCAAGAAATTTCTCTGAGTCCTACAATTACTCACTGGACTTAATAATAGAAAGGAAAATCTAAGCTGAAAAAAATGTTTTTGCAAGATACAAATTATGTAATTATCTTTCATAAAACAAGATATGTTCTCCGATACAACACAATATGGACCAATCGAATCACACTTGACGGAGAGGCTTTGGAAACCTTTACATATCTGGGCAGCGTCTTTGATGAACACGGTGGATGTGATGCAGATGTGAAGGGGCGGGTTGGAAAAGAAAGAGCAGTATATGTGCACTGAAGGACATCCGGAACTCAAAACAATCGTCAACCAACACCAAAGTCACAATTTTCAATAAAAATGTTAAGATAATTCCACTATATGGGGCGTAAACTTAGAGAACTGCTAGAACCATCATCCAGAAGATACAGGTGTTTATTGACAGTTGTCTACGCAAGATACTTCGGATCCGTTGGCCGGACACTATTAGCAACAACCTCCTGTTGGAGAGAACAAACCAGATCCCAGCAGAGGAAGAAATCAGGAAGAAGCGCTGGAAGTGGATAGGACATACATTGAGGAGAGCACCCAACTGCGTCACGAGACAAGCCCTCACATGGAATCCTCAAGGTCAGAGGGAAAGAGGAAGATCAAAGAACACATTACGCCGAGAAATGGAGATAGACATGAGAAAAATGGACAAGAATTGGATGGAACTAGAAAAGAAGGTCCAGTACAGAGTGGGTTGGAGAATGCTGGTCGGCGGCGTATGCTCCTTTGGGAGTAACAGGAGTAAGGAATTACGATATTCAAGTTATCAGTGTTTAACATCAAAAGTCCAGTTTCAAATTTGACTTTGAAAGCGTAAATATAAACGTGCAATGAAAATTTCATATCTCTAAAAAATCTACCTGTGTACATCTTTGAAGACGACATTCAACTGCCAGTTCTAATCCTTGTCTATGAGCCCATCGTTTAACACGATCCAGTCGTCTATTCAGACGTGATGCTCCAAGTCTTGTAAGCCATAAATTACCGTCATTTAAAACATTTCTGGGTTTAGCTTCTGTATCGATTAGAACTGTATTAAATATATATGCACCAATCAAATGAAATAATTGTGAGTACAACTGGAAAGTTAAAGCAGGATTGACACGTGATTTTCTTAGTTGTTGCATTAAATAAGTAAAATTCCGCAGAATAATTTGCATACTTATCGGTTCTTTGTGTTTATTCCATGTTTCTGATGGATCGATTGGTTTGTCATCTAGAAGTACATCGTCCTAATATAAAATGGGGAAGTAGTTAGGAAATTAAACAGGCATAATATTTCATTTAATTTACATACTACTTACAAGTAGGCAAAACGTATATATTCAAAAGAATGAGGCAGTAAGTTTTCATTCAATGGTAATTATGTGATTGATACTAATTGTTGTATTCCATATCATATACTTTGTTGTAGTAAGGGATTTCAAACAAAAAACATGTGTCATTATAGGCCCTGCTTAACATTTATGCTGGTCCAATCCTTGTATTTTGCTAGAATCTGAGTTCCGAAATCTCTTTGTGTCTTCTTTTTATTTGTTCTTTACCTAATTTTTTCTATTACTTCGCCGTCCTAATCTGGTATGATAAAATTAACCGATGCATTTCTCTACGTTGCATATAACTAACCGATTGACTGATGAAAGGTTACACTAATTTAACAAAAGACATTTTCATATAATTGGCCCAGTATACTAATGTAAATAGTAATTTGTTTAAAGGGAAAATCCTTCCAAATACGTTGATTATTATTGTTAATAATTTTTATAACTGAGAAAACCATTAATCACGAAACGAAATTCCGTAACTTACCTTTTAGATGACCGAACAAACTTTTGTCAATCAAATAAGATCATTTATGACTAACATAAATTAAAATACAAACTTAATTAGTATAAGACCATGAGTCAGTTGAAGCTAGACCACCATGAAAAACCTGGAAGCAGTGGACAGTCGTTTCGTTCTATTGTGAGACTCCTCAGCTCGGGCGCGAAACTAGTAGGTCCTGGGTTCGAATCTCGCAGGGTGCGAGGTCGTGGATGCGCACTGCTGAGGAGTCTTACAATAGGACGAAACGGCCGTCCAGTGCTTCCAGGTTTTTCATGGTGGTCTAGCTTCAACTGACTTATGATCTTAGCCATTGAAATTATTATGATATCCACAAAACCCATCTGATATTAATTAGTATAACTATGAATTACTTTCCAACAATTTTATGCTGAATTATTTCATGTTTCATGATCTTTCTAGTGCATAGTTTGTGTTTGTTGACTTTTGAATTGTTTAAATAATGATACAAAACAGTTATTTTGTCATAAAGCTTTTTATTAGAAGTACACTTTAAACTATTGAAATGATAAACTTGATGCTAATCAATGGATTCTACACGATGATATATAATAATACTAACTGATCTTTGAATATATAGATCCATTTACTGATATTGAATCCTTTTTCCCTACTTTCAATGAACTGATATTAAAAGATAAGACAAATCATAAAACAGAATATTGTTTTTTCTTCTTTTTTTTTATAACCTCGTTTCAACTGATTGTATAATTAAACAAATACATCCATGTTGACTAAATTCATTTCATTGTTTCTTAGTGAAATATCATTTATTGATTAAGTGTGCTAGTAACTAATTAAAAATTAACATAATTCATTCATTGGAATTATATATGAAAAATATAAAAGATTTGAACTGAATTAGCCTACAATTTGTGTTTGTGTGTGTGTGTGTGTTTGTATGTGGGTAAGTGTATGAAAAATCTGTATAAGTAATATTGATAATTAAGAAATTGAAATATTGAATAGAAAAGATTATATAGTAAAAGTTAAAATTCTGATTAAAATATACATATATCTATTTGATATTTCAACTCCTCCTGGAGTCCCTTCGGGGGCTACTGCCGATCCCAAGCCCGAATAAAGGAGGAGGGTTGGGCATGGGGTTAGCGTCCTGATCCCGTAGAAAACTAACTCGCTAAGAAAACGCTAACTAGAAAAAATAAGTATTTGATATTTTACTACAAAAAATTGACTTTAGTTAAACATTCTTTAAAATCTAGGAAATATTAGATAATACATTCATACCAGTATAGGATTTCGCATCAATGCAAATCTATGAATCTAACAAAGATGGAACTCAGGAGTTCAAGATCTAGTGATTAGCATGATACTTGTTGGTTGTTCAGCAGGAATCTGATGACAAATATTTATTAAGTTTAGTTAATTTGTGATATTTTGAACAGATATTGAAACAGACCTCTAAGTCTCAACGTCCAGTAGGTTACGAAACTCGAAACCTTTACAACAATGAGTCACGTATTTTAATGTACAAAGTTTGTGCTCGACCTCTTTTAGAATATTGCACGTTTATTCTTAGCAGTGAGCGCATAAAGGATAAATTAAGGCTGGAATCAGTACAGAGACGATTTACACTTCGTATTCTTGGAGCTGATTGTACTTTAACTTATAATTCTAGATGTAATAAACATGGGCTAGACCCTTTATGGAAGAGTAGACTCAAACTAAATCTTATTTTTTTCTTCAAACTACTTCATAAACTATCGTTTACATCCAATCACGTGATTCAATATGTAGAAACTTCTCATTATGACATCCGTAATTCCTTATTACCAGTGAAATAAACTTATTCTGAATCATCTCTATATGAATTAATTTACCTGTAAGTTTTCTAGACTCTGGAATAACCTACCACAATCTATCCGTACGATAAAATCACTCCCATTATTTGTTCGCTGCATCGATACATACTGCTTCTCTGAAAATGCATTGAATGCTCTAGCGCCTTTAAGTGTATCTCATTCCACAAGTAGTATTATAAGAACTTTAAATGTTTAGCCATTTTTATTAGTGCATTCCCTAAGTAAAACCACTTAATTGCCGTTACTTTATGGTAACCCCGTCCCTAGCAAGTTTAACTAATTTGAATAACATCAACAGTATATCACTGTGTCACATGACATACGCATTTTGGTAAACCTGATCGATATATTTTGGTAATTACTGCTTTGTTGTTCCGTGCTCTCTGTTTTCGTTTTAATTTCTCTGGTTGTAGATAATTATCATTAATTCGATTGGGTACACGAAATGACCTTAATTACTCCGTTCATAAATCAACGGGCTTTCTATTTAAGAAATATTAAAAAATCCCCGGTTTATGCATTGGACTGCTGTAATACATGTCATAAATATACTACCTAAACAATTACTGAACTAGTATACTTAAAACTATCTTATATCACATGTTTGTTCTGTACATCTAATGTTACTATTTATATCAAATTGATCATGCCTGTAAACTGGTGTGAATTATGTTATTATTATTTTCAGAATATAAATTATTATTATATAAATCACTAATAGTCTTATCGTAGATGAATAGGTTTCATATGAATACTAGATAGAATTCTTCATTTATAGGGATTGGGATTAAGACTAGTTATATAATATACAGAGATGGAAAGATAGACTGTCAAATTTGCAATCAATGTCTTCTTTTACTGCCAAGCTCATCTAAAACACTGAGCTGTTGGGTTCTATTTTATAAAAAGTATTCCCCAAAGAGGGATAAAGCAGTTGTTTTACGCTAATTGATTATCTAAGGATCTGTAATCGATGGAAATTCGTAAAAAGAAGTTCTGATTGAATTCTGTTAGTGTAACAATTATTTCACTTGGTTGATGCTAATTAGAATAAAGTTAGTAATTCATATAGTCAAAACTCTTATTACCATCAATGTTAAAATCAAATATATCAATACTAATCTTACTGAAACACAACTAGTGGTTGTTTTAGACGAATTAGAAATTCTTCTATAGAGGATTGTTTTCAAAATTGACAAATGAATCAAATATTAGTTGATAAATGATAATCAATCATTTAAGTTATTACACATGTAATCGAATGGTTGATGCCAATGCCTTCAATGAACTAAGATCAGTGACATGAACACTGGACAAACGAATAAATGTTTATCATAGTAAAATAAAATCTAACATAGAAAACTTACTTGTAAATCTAAATCTCCAGGATATGTTAAACATGATAACCATGGTTGAAGTATACTACACATAATTGAACGTAAATAATAAAAGCAATGATCTACAGTTTCAGCTAATAAATGTAATGCATCACGACAAATCACTGATTGTATTAATGATCCTGATTGATCATTTTGATGACGACTAGTTCTAGAACGATTTGAGCAAAGATCAATATCATTTTTGAAAAAATGCAATAATTCACTACTATTTCCAAGCCAATATGTTAATGGTTTAATAAGAAGTGAAGGATTTGAATTGGAATTACGATTGAAATTCGGTACAGACTATAGAAATAGAAAAAGAAAATGGGATAGGTTGTCGATAAACAAATACAAACAAAATATTATTGAAACTGAGATTCTACATATATATCAAGTAAACAATAAACCTATGCTATTCAAGCAAGCATTACTGCAATGAGCGAATTGTAGACAAACCACTGACGTTTTTAATTGACAATCTAGAGATTAAATACTGGATACGTATGTGTATATTTTAAGATGAAATTCACAATCAAAAGGATAACAGTAGTATAGATTCAAGTTTCTCAATTACATTCGAGGAGAGTTGATAAGATTTGGTCGTTTGCAAAGCTTCTGTGTATGTTTTTTTGTCATGAATTGACATTATTTAGTGTATTAGTAAATATCAGGTAATACTAGAAAGCTGGTTTATTTTAACAGCTAGAATCGATGTTAATATAAATGATAAAGCTCACTTAGTGGATTAAGATGATGAACAATAGTGCTTAATAACGGTTTTTTTTAAAAACACTTTTCACATGTCAAGAGTTAGATAGTTGCCACCAATGGAACTGAATGATTATCGAGCTAAAACAAAATTGATTGAGTTGTAATTGTATCATTCCAGACCAGTCTAATGATTCCAGTATCTGGGCTTTCATCAGGGGATTTATACGTCTTGGATTAAACTCTTGGTTGGGTCATGGGTGCCTAACATTGATCGTACTTATGCTAGGATGAAGCAATAGTTTAGTAATCTCTGGTTTTTAACAGTACTTCAACTGTCATTAATCTGTGATATACATATACATGGCTTGTTAAAAAATATTGTTTTAGAGAATCAAGTTGATAAATCTCATTCAAAATCATTCAACTAATCACAATAAAAATTAATGGTTCATTAAAATTTGACGGAATACTATCTTGGTTTAATGGGGATTGTTCTCATCTATAATATTAAGAACTGATTCTGATTTAATACATTCATGAAGAGAATCTATTAATAAACTAACTGTATAAAGTTACGTCTTGGTATGAGACTCCTCAGCACTGTGCATCCGCAATCCCGCCGCGCGAGATTCCAACCTAGGACCTGTTAGTCTCGCGCGCGAAAGCCTATTCTCTAGACCACTTAGCCATCCAACGGTGTTAGTGTCTAACTTCAATCAATCTATGAAAATGAGCCACCGTCAACCATTGTCTTCAGTGAGTTACTATCTCACAACAGATCCGGTTGAACTCCATTGGTCATTGCTTCTCACTAGAACTCCAGAACATACTGCTTGAACCCAGTCATCAGTGAGCACATGATGACTGTTATCAGAAAAGGGTTTAGTGGATATTATAGTAATTTAATAGTTGACTAACTAGAATAAAATTATTTTGAAATGTAAATAAACACAGCTTCAATAAAATCTGTATTCAATTCATAAAGTTATTGAAGACATTATATTAAATGACTTGGTGGACTTAAATATATACATTCTTTATCTTTAAAATAGATCTTGAGTTGTAGTATAATTTCATGCGTTTTTTCTTAATTGATTGACTACTGAATAATTACTAGTGTGATGTATTCCAAATCCTTCATAGTGTTGGCTGAATCCTATTGATCAAGTTGAAATGTGGCCACTAGTCTAGGTGACTCGGCATTGCGTGCGCTATGTTGAGATAAGATGGTGGTTGGAGGTAATCAATAAGAAACCTTAGACCTAGGTTTTGTGCTACTTGGCACTCGCCAGATAGGTGTACGTGTAATCTTTGGGGAACCGCTGCTCCCTGGTGGATTCGATGTTGTGTCACTCAGCTTCACAGACAGAGACTTTACCACTGTTCTTTGGTTTTATTCGTTTTGTTTGGATTAATTTTATTATATTATCTCAAATTTTTTAAAATGCATCTGAATAACACTTTTATTGCTGCGTTGATGTGAAATATGACAAACAAATCCCTTTACCTAGTTATTTCAAATTCTATGTTGTTTACACCTGGGAAACTAACGATGATGTTGATAATTTTACCTACGATTATCTGAAAATTCAAATATAACTAAAAGAAAATCATACCTATTAATAAAAATCAAATTTCACTGATTGAAATATCATGAGTTAATTGAAGCTAGACCACCATGGAAAACCTGGAAGCACTGGATGGCCGTTTCGTCCTAGTATGAAACTCCTTAACAGTGCACATCCACGACTTATGATTTCAACCAGTGAAATTTCTAAAATTTCCACAAAACCCCTTGTGATAAAAATCAAATTGATTAATTTGTTATAATTTACACAGTTAAAGCAACATACTTCATAGATTCTATTAGCCATATAATTTGTTAAATGCGATATACAATGTTCTCGTTCATTTAATTGACATTGACTTGTTGTATTCAATTTCTTTATAAAAGATCTATAAGTTAAATACAATGCGTAAGCAAGTGATAAATAGAATGAACGACTTTTCACAGGATCTTCATGAGATAATTTTTGCGTGTTATTCAAATCCGATTGTGTACAGATTAGAATACGATCAATTAAATTAATATATTGATCCATTAAAGTATCTGATGGTAATTCATTTGTATGTTCTAATTCAATGGATAATGGTAATTGATCCGATTTAGATAATGATGATGATGATGTCACTGTTGTATTGGGTAATTTATGAGATGGCTTTTTATTTCCATCAATATTAAAACCATTAATTTCTTGGTTTTTTGTTGATAAATTCAAATTTGATGAAGAAGTCTATTGATATTAAAAGAAAAATTAAACATAGAAGAAATATTTCATGACTGAATGTTTAATGTATAATTGTAGTTGATTAAAAGTGTTATAATGAACAAATCATTATACATATTGAGAGATATCTCCAATCGATCATCTATCTGATTTAGTTATGGCAATAATTTGATTTCATTTAAATTGAATATCAAGAGGAAAATCTTCCAAGAGAAGAAGGCGATAAACTAAACGAATACTTAAATGTCATATGTTAAGAAGACCAGATATGATCATATGCCTCAGGGCTATCGGTAGGTGAGAAGTGCAAACGGTGGATACTATTTGATTAAGCTATGGTCACTGACTAGCAATATAGATATATACACATCAATTATGTACAGTTTTATTCAGATCAAGTATTTAAAGCTTTCTAATTATTCAAATATTTAGGAAGCATTTAATCGAACTGATGGATTTCAACGGATCGAGTAACAACTACATATAAATCCAAACTACCAATTAAATTATGCTTTCTGTCATAAATGTTTATTAGGAAATAGTTAAAACTTCTATTCGTAACTGAAAGTTCCCATTTTATGAGATACATCTGTAAACAATTGGTTTATTTCTAACCATTAGAGAGATTTCAGATTGTGACAATTTAATAAATATCTTACTGATAAGACAAAAGAAGCTCTACCTCCTCTCCTACCCCACCCCACCCCCACATCCAACTAACAATACAATCCAAAAATTGTAAATTTACAATTACAAACACTTGGATCCATGTTTTATTGATCATAAAAATTTATCTTTAAAATGAATCAAGTAAATCTTTATTATTATCAGAATGGGTTTTGTGGAGATTTTTGGAAATTTCACTGGTTGAAATCATGAGTCAATTGAAGCTAGACAACAAGGAAAACCTGGAAGCACCGGGTGGCCGTCCCGCCCCAGTATGGGACTCCTCAGTGGTGGGCACCCACGGTCCCACCCCCGCGAGATTCGAACCCAGGGCCTACCAGTTCCGCGCCATGCGCTTAACCAACTGGACCACTGAGCCGGTCGCCATCCAACGGTGTTAATGTCTAACTTTAACCAATCCGCGAAGTTGCGCCACTGTAAACCATTGTCTTCAGTGAGTTCTTATCTCACAACAGACCTGGTTGGACTCCACTGGTAACGGCTTCTCACTAGAACTCCAGGAGTGTCTCCTCAAGTCAGTCACTGGTGAGCAGGTGATTATTATTATCAGAATGGGTTTTGTGGAGATTTTAGAAATTTCCATGGTGGTCTAGCTTCAATTGACTCATGATTTCAATCAGTAAATCTTTATTATCAAAAAATAAATGATAAGAATTATTTGATTTTGATTGGTCGGTTCAAGGTCAGTTGGTATAATACCCAATACAAAAGAAACTAAGAGGCGGTATAATATTCAATTGTTCTTATTAATTTCATTATTATTATTTACCTAAGCAAATGTTTATATAAGTTTCATTGTGTATCAGTTTGAGGTAATGATTTTATTTATTTTTTTTGATAAGAGATTTAGGATAGAATTGAATATAACTGTATACTAATTATGTTAAAAGTATTCAACTGACTCATGATCTTAACTATTGAAATTACTATAATATCCACAAAACTCATCTGATATTAATCAACATAAGCTCACTAGTGACTGGTTTCAAAAGGTATATCCTGGAGTTCTAGTGAGAAGTAGTGACCAGTGGAGTTTAACCAGGTCTGTTGTGAGATAGTAACTCATTGAAGACAATGGTGGATGTGTCGCTCAATTTCGTGGATTGTTTGAAGTTAGACATTAACACCGTTGGATGCCGGCAGGCTCAGTGGTCTAGTGGTTAAGTGCTCGCGCGCGAAACCAGTAGGTCCTGGGTTCGGATCTCGCAGGGGGCGAGGTCGTAAATGCGCATTGCTGAGGAGTCCCATACTAGGACGAAACGGCCGTCCAGTGCTTCCAGGTTTTCCATGATGGTCTAGCTTCAACTGACTCATGATCTTAACCATTGAAATTACTATAATATCCACAAAACCCATCTGGTATTCATATTTGGTAAATAAATAAACTCAGACAGTCAGTCTAGTCAGTCATTTACAACGTAGGACCAGGCACATGTATGGATCGGTTCAAGTTGCCATACCTCATTAGCACAGCAAGAAGAACACCGGATTCATAGAACCAGTTAACTCCATGGTGTAATATATAAATGGAAGATTTTATATTAGGATATAATACAGGAAGAAAGAATTAGTTCGTAGAAAGAAAGATATGAAGTGTGTCGAATTTCTATTTTATAATGACCAATATGACCAAATAGTAACAATGATAATACTAACTTTGCAGTGAAAAGGTGAACTGATGATATTGGAAATTGATGATACAAATATTTCAGATTATTATGAATCAATTGAAGTGACAAATTAAAAAAAGCTTACTAACTGGTTGGTTTATTTTATTAAAAAATGTGAAGATATATAACTTATCGAATAAAGCATTTCAATAACTTTCTAGCTTAATAACTTGTGACAGGTCATGGCTTTGTACCCAGACGTAATATCTCTGATTATGATGTTTGATGAAACTACGTTTGACATCACTCAGAGCATCGACTTGCCCAAAATTGTGTCTATACTTCTAGTGACAATTGGGTTTTAGTTTGAAACCTAGGTTTATAGCCTTTCACCAATTGTCACCATCTATCAAGCATAGTGAACCACACTTTAGATTCACTTAGATTAGAGCTTGGAATTCTACTTGATCAATTGAATATGATCGACTAAGATGATCAGTTGAGAGCGATTTTTATCATTGTACGATAGTCACCAAATATAAACATTAGCGCCATATAGTAATAAATTGATGTAATAGGTAATTCACTGAGAAGTAGTGATCAATGTCATGTTAATCTAATCATCTAGAATTGGTCAAACTCTATCGATCAACGTGGCCTCTATTCTTGGTGATTCGGTATCAAGTGCCTTATATTGAGATGTTAAGTGGTTGGACGTAAGGAACAGATAATCTTATTTGACTTAGGTTCCTCCATGATTTCAAATTTTCATCCCGTTTGCCACTGATGAAGAAGGCAGACCTGCAATTTTGAAAGGATTGATACTCTCAGTAGGATTTCGACCCGCGGTAGCCAACTTCACAGTCATTAGCAGAAGGGTTTTATCAACCAGCTATTTGGGAGGCGACGAGTTGGAACAAAGCCGACTGACAAGCAATATCGTTCCCAGGCTTTAAAACAGATATATATAAATAATCATGAATCGAGTTTTTTAAATTATCTACCTTGAGAATAAGGTTGACGTTTTCAGCAATTTTTTCAATACTCAGTCAGTGTGTTGTACTTTCAGTTTTCTTCCAAGTGATTTATTTGTGGATTAGTGCATATTGAAATGTAAATCTTTATTTGAAAATTTCATTTCAACTAACTGGAGTAGGTCTTAACTGTCTACTGTGAACATTCTCAATAACCCGAAATATTAGATGATAAACACAAATATAGTAGAAGCTAGGAGGTTAATGAGAATTACACTAATAGATAGCAGTCACTTATTGAATCGACCAAGAAATGACTGAATTTTCTGGATATGAAATACTGAGTCAACACTAAAAATGTTGTTGATAACCTTATCTATGAGCAGATTTATCTATTTATTTTATTATAAGGATGACAATTAGTTTTATTGTATTAAGAAAACATTATGTATACATTAACCAACTAGGGTCAGTTCGTGATGCAAACTATGAAATTCATTAATCTCTATAAATCCCTTATACTTATAATAGTCTTGTGCTAACTAAAAACCCGTTTTGTGAGGTAATTCCCAGGATCCTAATGAAAGACTATACCGCTTGTGATGGAGCTACCCATGAATGTCACTGGAAGATAATTGTGACATAATGATTGAAGTTAGAAACATAAATTGACTCGGCGGTTTAAAGATTAGGCACTTGTAGCTTGATTTGAAGGTTCTATGCTTGATCCGCAGAATGCAAGCAGTATGAAATTCCTAATTGTATTGGTTATTTATCAAGCCTCTGTTGTGGGGGGTTGTAGGAATTCTTTAATTTTGAAGTTTTCCGTCATGGACAGACCTCGGTTAGAGAACTATTGACTCCTGCTAGAGTTGTGGATGGATGCTGTAGAACAGTCTCATACTAGGGCGAAAAAGTGGTTCAGTTATTTGTTTGATTTTCAATAGCTGTTTAAATAAATTCACTCCGTAATGTAAACTATGGAAGAATATCTTTAAGTTATGTTTGAGAATTACTATAGGCCATCTCTGAGGAAAACAAGGTCTACCTATTAATAAAGGTTTTGTGATTAACAAAGAAAGTAGCTGACGATTAATGGACAAGTGAAAACAATGATGAGACAGTGTCAAAGGATGACATACAGGAACTTAGTAATTAGAGAACTGGTCAACCAGCTAGTTATAAGCTACTCAATAAGTTCAGCATTTTTCAAAAATATATCGAGATTCAAAGTGAATATAATGATTCGATAAGCCTTCTGTTTGAGTAGTAGTTACGGAGTTTCTAGGAGCATTCTATAGTCATACAACATTTTTACGCTTCAACTGAAATAACAGAGAAATAGTGCGAAGTGTGAATAAGAGCTTTATTTCAACGTTAACTATATGCAGAGAATTGGACGTGTTTACAGAGCTTTACATGACTCTGATGCTTTAGAAACTTCTAGTGAGTAATAGATGAATAGATTGGAGTGTGAATGACATACGAGATCAATTCTTTTTTTCCAACTCTATGTTACATGTATCCATATTTTAAGAAGGATCGTAAATGCTTAGTTGTATAATATGGTAAATATGTATTTGCATAATAAGTTATTAAGTCAATATTTTTAAATATAACTCAGTTCTATTTGTAAATATCTGACTGTTCATCTAACTGTATATAAATCATATAAAAAGTGGTGTATTCATAAATCATTTTAATTTATTTTGGAAGTGAAATAAATCCTTATCGACTTCACACCTTTTCTCTTGTGTTCAAGTTGGTGTGTAGATTTAGTCTGCGTTGATTAGAAGCGGCTTAAAGATCAAATCGAGCATTTACTTAGCAGACTTATCATTAAATTAAGAAGAGACAACTATCCATTATGCCCTGATTGTCAGCCCTATCCTCATCAATCTAAAGTGATAAAAACCTTTGCAAAAAACATAAGAGGCTTTTTGTATCCACTGTAAAACATCATATTTACGTTTGCATATATATATATACGGAAAAGGTAACTAACTTTCAATGTCTGTGTTTTTGACAGTGTACCTCCAGTGAATTGCGAATCCTTCTTCAATTTCATAACATCATCATTTTGATTTTTTTCATTCATTAAATCAATTTGTTTTTCTGCTAACCGATTCGATAACGATAATGATGATGGTAATCTTGTTATTGTTTGTTGTATCTTATTTGCATTCTCTGTTTTAATTTGCATTTTATTGTTATTATTATTAGCATTTGTAAGTGAATTCAATGATTTAGTTTGCATTGGTTGAATATACTTTAAGTATAATGTTTTACCTAATTGTAGAATAGCATTATTTGATACAAGTATTGGACCAGTTACACGTGTACCATTCACACGAACCAATGCTGGTCCAGGTGGTTTTGTAAAACCATCCAATGATGGTGTAAGTAGTAATGAGTAATTGGCGAAATTTTCTAAATCTGGCGTAGAAACAGATTTGGGTAATTTCCATTTCTGTGTAGTATTTGATGTATTATTATTAGTATTATCATTAGTATTGACAGTTGAATTTGTCGTAGTAATTTGATTGGTTGTTAGGACAACACAAAATGTACAATGAACTGGTCGAATATCAGGATGTTCAGTCTGGTTATTTTGTTAGTTTGTTAATTTATTTGGTTTGGAATAAACAATAGTGTAAAGGTAAGTTAATATATTACTTAATTTGTTCAAATAAAGTAATATATAAGAAGTAACTAAGAAATATAATCACGTTTTTTTTGAAGTCATTTAATCAGTTATATGCAACAAAGGGTATGAAAAAAAGTGTGCATTAGCCTAATTTGCAATCCTATATTAACATGAGGTGGATTTAACAAAATGGCTAACAAACAAGTGAAAATAATCATAGTAAGAATGAAAGTGAGAAAGACTAACCATTGTGAATACGGTTCAAATGTGTCACCGAGCTTCACGGGCGGAAAGACCTTCTGTGGGACTGACATGTATTTACAATCGACCGATCACTGAGTACTTTTCTAGTGCTGATTAAATTTTCTTGATCGGGACTAAAGAACTACTTGACATCCACGACGTTGATCACCATTCAGGGATCTATCGGCTGTAAACACCTATCGTCAAACTTCTGCAGTATGTCTTTTACTTTCACAGTCCAGATTTCCCATCCATAGAGCCATATGAAATGGATTACCACCCACTACTATTACACTGGTAGAAGAACGTCTCATTTACGCCACAAATGACACTATTTTCAGTGTCTCATTGTAAATTTGTCACATTATTTGAATAGCTATTTAATGTTGTCTGTTAATGATGGCTGGTAGTTTTATTGATAATCCCATTGCTATTATTGATTGTTATATCCGAGCGAAGATTAAATCACGAGTAACTTCTAAGACATATTAATTGATTAATATTATCTATACATTCTTATGGTATAACTATTCAATAACTAGATTATATATATTTATATTTCTCTTATTATAAGCTTCATTTCGACCTATAATTTATTATTGTACGATTTACTGTTCTTAAGCTATGTTCAGTTTATTGACTACTGCCTCTCACCATCACAGTCACTTTTTGGCTTTATTGTGTACAAATGTCATTTCCTAGTTTATGGTGCGTTGCGGTCTGTTTGATATATAAACCCAGTACGTCTGAAATAAATGATTCGATTCGATTCTCATAGTGGAAGCTGGTATTGATGTTCTGGACTCATGTGGACGGGCTAGGCGGACATAGGACCAATAAGGACGCTAGGTTGCCCATACTGGTCGAACGTCATTAGTTTGACACAGTGCTAAGATTGTATAATTCGTATTTTGATTGGTGGATAAATCACGTGATAAAAAGCCGGACATAAAGTCACGATATTGATAGGAATGGAATACTATCTTAGGGTATTATTTACTTTTCTGATAATATACCATTGTTTCACGAGAGCTCGACCATTTCTCGCATGAAAGTGACATTACTGATGAAAATGGATGATATCACAAGTAAAAATGATAGTTCCTGATTGTACATACTGTACATAAATAAACTATTTTTATACACCGGATTTTTCGTAACTAACAGAAGAGGACGACTTGAGACATTTTAAAAACATTCTTGGGAATGCTTTAAATTGTTACTAGTTTTTGCGCATAATCTGAATCACTATGAGGTATTTCTTACAAATGAGCTTTCATACTATGCTATATTCACTGTATAGTTGTACTACAGATGTGTTTGTGGATTACAAGAATCTTAATAAATAAATATAGGCAAATTTTGTTTAAATCATGACAAGCTACACGTTATTCATCATGTCTTTTTAAATTTCGCACAAACATTAAAAAACCATTGCCTTAAATTTGATTGTACAATATGGCTTTAACTGGCTATTAGACAAGATAAGTTATATTTTTTTATCCTATATCTTGGAAACCAATTGAAATATTAACATGTTTGCGTAAAAGAACGCGCAAAATACCAAAACACTATTCATATTTTAACATACCTTATTTATTAATACATTAGGATATGATCCTACCATACTTCCTACTGTACCAAGTTTAATAGGCAATGTGTATGCTCTTGTAAATAGATCTGTTAAATCAATTGTAAACCCTTTAGGATGTATTGAATGATCTAAGTCACCGTTTACTTGAACTAAATATGGCATATCTGTTAATTGTTGACTTTGACGTAATTGTTTTCCATCTTTATGATTATGAAATGAAGATGAAGATGAAGAAGAATTAGAATGTAATGAAATCGGTGCTTGTTGAATTGGTGCATGAGGATAAGCTGGTGATGTTAATGGAGGCCGCTTACCATCTTTACCTACTACATATCGATGTCTAATCTGTATTATATTGGATACACCAGAGTTGGATCGTATCATTTCACGAAACTTTAAAACACAATCTTTATCATGTAGTGTAATTTCTTTGTCAATACCTTGTCTACAATTGGAATGAATGAAAGAAGAGTAAAAAAAATGAAAGAAACAAACAATTCAGCCGGTCAGTATTAAATAAATGATACTCAATTATAAGCTGAGGTGATTGTGGCTAGAAGTGGAATCCAGGATGCGCGTTTCGTCCTATCTGGGACTCGTCAGCTAGATGTACCTGAAGGGTAGATGTTCACTCCGGAACTCAAACCCAGCGCCGTTCTACATTTTTTTTATGACTGATTAATACAATTAATTCAACAATTCAATATCTTGAATCACTATGTTTGGTCCTTCACCATTAATAAATAATAGAATTTGAATAAAATATTTCACCATTGGAAGCAATACGAATTTCTTTTCCCCAACTTGAAATCCCACCTCAGTATATACATTTAATTCAATCTATAATCAATACCTGAATCTGTGGATATACTTCTTATAAAGCATTCCATAAATTACTGACAAATGGTTTATACTATAACTTGATGACTTGAATGATGTACTTATGTGAAGACCTGAATTTGTGATACTAATTAAATCAAAAGTTTTTAATAACTGATTCAGATATTGGATCATTATCATGATAAGTAGCTGTTTCTATGTTTTGTGATTTTCAATAATTTGCTAGTGAATACTGGTTTTTAGTGATAACCATTTTTAAACTAATTGATTATCTGAAAAATGGCTGATTAAAAGATGGTAGAATCATATTTATTTATTATATTACGATAACTTAGTCGATGTAAGACTTGAAGGTCCTAAGTTTATTCATGAGTACGATCATGAGATCCAGATGACGATAATTCCTCAACCAGTCGTCAGTCTTCATCAACGGAAGATCAGAGACAAATATACATCTATAAACATGACCACATCTCAAGTTGGCATAGTGTGTGAGTTGAAATAAACATAATGAATGCCGAAGTATAGATTACAATGCCTAGTATATACTGATTTAAGTGATTCAGTTTTGGCAGAACGAATTCATCGTATTGCATTGAAAAATAATTCACAAAGAGCGCAATATATGTGTTCCATAATGCATAACCTATGTAACATATATACTATACCATATACGGTATACAAGTATTGTACCAGGTAGAACTAATCAAAGATAAATGGGAAACAGCCACTTGTGAAAACGTTTGATAGATAAAATTTCAATCTTTACAACTGAAACACATTATCTAGTAGGATTTAAAGCAATGTTCAACATTGTGTGCTGAAATTGTCTTACTATAACGACACAACATTGAAAAAAACAGCATATAACATAGCATATTATCAGATTCTTAATTTTTGACTAATGTCCTACTTTCAAACATAAAAACATCTAATTTTATGATGTATAATGGAGTTATCTTTCATGAAGGTGATACCATATCTTGGTTTGATAACTCTTTGCCTTCCTTTAATTCTACTCATATACTGGTCACACCAGATGTGATTCATATCATATAATAAAAAAAATGACGGTAATCACTGAACTTACGGTAAACGTTCAACTCCATTCATTCCACTATGGTTACTGCCACCGATGCCAGCACCACCACGTAATGGTAAATTCACCATAACTAAACAGTAATCTCTCGGATCAACATGATTCACTAAATTATACTTTTCTAATGTCCATAATACAATTTGTTCAGCTGTATCATTGGTTGATATTGGTAATAATATGTAAGGTATTGTTGGATTTAATGAACTACCGTAAATTTTAACTAAACTACCTAGTAAAGCAAACAGAACGTACATATACGGTAGGTATACAAATAATTATACAATAATAATAAATTCAGGTAAACTACACAATTCTTTTTTTTCTTCCTAACTAAGTGTATTCATTAAATTGCAAGGTTACCATAGCATTGTTTTAATCCATCTTAATAAAATAGCTTTCAAATTACCAAGCAGCAAATGACAAGGAAAAATCGATCGATTAGTAGCTAGAACAGCAATTCAGGTTATTTAACCATTATTCAAATCATGGGGGCTACATTTTTATAAAGTTTAGTTGCATAGAATGATCGACACACCCAAACATATTACTGTTTTCTAATAACAAACATAACATCGAGTCAAAGCAATTCCAGAGAAATATTTAACATTTGAAGCAGGATAAAAAGCTGGTTACCAATAGCAATGGTGAAATATGGTATGTTTTGTTTGTTTGATCGAATGTCTGAAGGAATTCTGAAATAGTTTCAACTGATAGGTAATCACTGTAACTGAGTTTATGATGGATTTCTGACAAGGTTCTGACAAACTATACAACCGTATTAATTAACATTGAGATCCGTATATCAAGGTTGTATTCAAGCTGACTTTCAAACTGTGTCTGTAATTAACCGAATGCTAACTACAGATCGACTGTTAGGCAGTTTTAGTGAAGGTACCAAGATTAACCATCTATACGATAGAAAACATAGGAAAAACGTTAAAAGTGGAATAAGTAAGTAGCTTTATCTAACTGCAGTAAGTTTTTGTGGAATTCAAAATAAAAATCTTTAGAAAGGATATTTTTTCATCATCGTAACTTATTACAGGAATTATGTCCCAATTCTAATATTATTTCGATTAAACTAGATACATCACCATATATGTTCGTTATGAAGAATTTTATTGATAAAAATAAAAAAAGGATTATCCATTCTTAGCGATCAAAGTAAATATGTAAGGCTGATAGTAACTTTGTAAAGGATATATAAATTAGAAAGAAGAAAGAACAGAACACGAATCAAGTGAGAGTAATGGGTATAAACGGTATTAGTAAAGGAATTTAATCCATTGAAACCTACAACTTCAAAACATCGCGATTTATAAAGATTATTTAGACTTTACAAAACTGACGGCTCTCTGTTTTCAATTCCATCAGTGTATTCATCACCTACATATAATCTTATGTGTATTGCGTCAGTATATCATATAGTTCTGATACATTTCATCTTTCTAAATAAGTTCTTCTATAATAAGTTTTATGTACCTTCTCACACAAATCACTTTAATATTTAAACAGATTTATAGTGTATCTTCATATGTGATTAATATTTTAAAGGAAAAACTTCCTAACGTTCATCGTTTATCCCTTCCCATATCACTATATATACATACCTCTTTTAATTCCATCAGTTATATCCATACATTGATTTCGATTGTGTATTCGTTGTTGTCGACGTCGACGTAATACTTCATCTGGATTAGATAATGTTCGTGTAAATGTAGTATCAGGAACTTGTTCTAATTCATCATCTATAAGATCAGAACGATTTTTACTAGATTTTCTTTGTTTCTTTCTTGATCCTGATGACCATCGTCTAACAAATCCACGTGTTTGTTTGTCATCTGTGTTATTCTCTGTTGTTAATAAATTTTTACTATTTTTTCTTTGTTTTAATCCATGTGTTGTTGATGTTGATGTTATGATCGTCGCTGAACCATTTTGATAATTTGAATCCTGTAAAAAAAGCACAAAAGAAAACAATATGCTTAATGATTTATGTAATAACTAATGACAGTAAACAATAGGGTAATGTCAAAGAAAATCAGCTACATATAAATATTAACATCAAATCAGCTATACTCGACGTAGAATCTGGTGAAAATGTATGTCAAACCAAGTTCCCATTGTATATCAACATGATAATATGAAATTAACGAATGTAAACGTGAATACGTTTCAATAATGGTAGTGTTCAAGATAGGAGAAAAATAGTTACTACAAAAACAAACTTGCTTTCATTGGTTAACTAGCTGGGGTTAATATTTGATGTAAACTATCTGCTACAGCATTCTGATAGACTGGGCCAATCAAACATGATAATTAAGAAATGATGTGATATACACTTTATACATTGAGAAATGACTTAACTTTCTGAGGGCCATATATATTTTTATGAACAAGTTGTGCATATGCTTTCTACTGGGTTAGCTAACTAGAACTTAATACTCCCCCATGATTTTCTTACTCAAGTATCTGGTTAAGCCTGTATATATATATATATATATATATATATATATATATATATATACGTAACAGACTTAGAGGACCACAAAATATAACAAATCTCCTTTTAATAATAATTGTATATCCCTTGCTAATTAACCAGGAGAGTAAGTTCTAAGGTTTTAGTAAGAAGCTCTGAAAAGTAAGGTTCAGTCACATTGAATGTAAGACAGGCATCACTAACAGGAAGAGTGATTTCCACATAATATTGCGAAATGAAATGTGAATCACTAGATACCAAGTCAGTGGTTTAAATATAACACATAATAACTGGATTCGATTACTGGTGGGATCTACTGTTAAATTAGCAACTTTACGTCATGACATGCCTTTTACTAGAGAACATTTTACAACAAAAAGGCATTGAACGCTTATTTCATTCTTATATAGATCTCTCCAAGGATACATACTCATGAACCCATAAGGAATTAGATCCAGGGCTTTCAGGCTTTGCTACGAACTCTTAACCTTCAAACCACTAGGTTGTTGTATGATGGTGTGCACTTCTAACTTCAATTAATTCGCAATATAACACGATGGTTAATCATTAACTCCAACGATGAGTCTGACACATCATGATTCAAAACTTAACAACTTTCGGAAACCTTTTGTTCTAATAATAATAAAAATGATATCTAATGAATAAAGATATATATACTTGTGATCTAGATGAATTTAAATGATATCCTACGTAGAAAAACTTAAAGGATCTAAGTAACTCAGCCTTATGAATCTATGATTTGTTTGCTTTGAAAACTATGAAACTAACTTTGGAACAATCAATATTCTTCTAAATTCATACGGTTTGTAAACTAAGAAAATCACTGGGAATTATGAAGTGAATTCATTTTAATTATTACTGAACTTCTGAATGGTGCGTGATTTTAAAATACAACAGGAATGTAATCTGACGTATACTGACTACTTATGTTTTCCTAATGTCTTCATATATTGTTGAAATAAAAAGTTCCCTATCTTCAACTGACTAGTCAGAGCTCATTAATATTACAGTGATACTAGTGTTCACTGGCTAACTCAATATGGTATAAAATGTAGACTGGAAAAAAAGTTAGAGGGTGGATGAAACCGACATTAACACTGTTGGATGCCGGTCTCAGTGGTATAGAGGTTGAGCGTTCACGCGCGAGACCGGAGATTTCTGGTTTCGAGTCCCACGTGCAGGGTCGTCGGTGTGCACTGGTGACGAGTCCCACACTAAGACGCGACGACTGACTAGTGCTCAAAGGTTTACAATGGTGGTCTAACATTGTTCGCTTCATGATCTAAATCAAAAAATCCTTTGTTAATCGACAAAATTATTGACCATTGGTTTCACTGATGTTATTAGATGTACATGCAGTCATTGGCTAGAGATGTTGGATGACATAGCTAAGAATCGGTTACAAGGAAGTCAACGCAGTAGATCTTGAGTATCAGTAGTCTTTTATAAAGAAATTAATTATATTTTTTTTATTTAGAAGTTTTATATATGTTTAATCATTCTGAGTGTCATTACTTTTACTTTTATTTTGACTAATTTGCTACTCTTTTTATAACTTATTACCACCTCATGTAAGTTTAGCTGTCACATATTTTTTTACCAGGCTCAATATTACTCAATGTTAATTGAAGTCGAATAAATGAACAGAATCTTTTATTTTGTTATTATTATTATTCAGAGAATAATATTTTTTCAAACTGGAAACAACAAAATCTGTCTTATAAACATTATATGCAAAGATGGATAGTGGCTAGCAATGGAATTCAAACAATACACTATCACCATTGGATGCCGGCTCTGTGGTCCAGTTGATTAAGCGTTCACGCTCGAGACCGAAGGCCCTAGGTTTGAGTCCCGCGTGCGGGATTGTGAATGCGCACTGCTGAGGAGTCATACAATAGGACGAAACGATCGTTCAATGCTTCCAGGTTTCCAAAGGTGGTCTAACATCAATCGGTTCATGATCTCAATCAAATATCAAGTGAATTTTATCTTACAAAGTTCATAAGTTTGTAAAAATATATTTTAATCATACACAAAGAATCAAGTCATTTATAGAGTATATTGAATAATACAATAACAACATTAAAACCAATTATGGTTATATCTTATCTTTCATTTCAAATTTAGTTTAACACTATCTATCTAGACCACCATTGAAAACCTGGAAGCACTGGACGGCCGTTTCGTCCTAGTATGGGACTCGTGGATTGGTTGAAGTTAGACATTAACACCTTTGGATACCGGCTCAGTGGTCTAATGGTTAAGTGCTCGCGCGCGAAGCCAGTAGGTCCTGGGTTCGAGCCCCGCGTGGTGCGGGATCGTGGATGCGCACTGCTGAGGAGTCCCATACCAGGACGAAACGGCCGTCCAGTGCTTCCAGGTCTTCAATGGTGGTCTAGCTTCAACTGACTCATGATTTCAATCTGTGAAATTTCTAAAAATCTCCACAAACCCCTTCTGATACTATCTATCTATATTATTTCATTCGGACAAACAAATTTATTTTATTTGCATAAGACTTATTGAACATTGAATAAACTATTTACATAGATGACATCATTTTCAATAAAATATACTCACACACACACACAAATATCATATACATACATATGTAAATGTAATACTCATTCTAAAGAAGTACTAAAGTTATGTAATAAAACTGATATAATAATAATAATCGCACTTATATCCTTGTATCCTTTCAACATTTTTCACTTAACTCATTATCATATTACAACATTGTATCGAATATCAAACTGTACAAACTATAGAATGGTAAATTGAATATGTTTGATATCATAAAAACGTAAATCGAAATGAAGTTTGTGATTTTGGATACAACAATACACAATTGTATATTTGTCTGAGTTTTGTGATAATAGTATCAAACAAACGAATAAGTGTATGCATAAATTCAAGAATTTTTCTCTATTGTGTTACATCATAATATCATTCAATGTGACATAGAGAATAGTAACTAACGTTCACATGATTACTATTTATAAAACGGATTAGTGATGGTGGTGGTAGTAGTAGTAGTGGTGATAAAATTCAATGAGTCAGTATATTAAATGTAGACTGTAAATTAAAGAATGGTAGTGGGTGGATTGAGTGTTGTTCGTTCGAAACATATATGAGTCATCCTGAGTTTGATGACATAATCAAACATTGGATACTGTCAATGAGATAAACAAATCTAGAAATTTTGTAGCTTTTTATCGCGGAATGACCTTAGTTAGAGAAACATTGAAATACCAGAAATCAGAGGACAACTGTCCGGTTCTAGTACGGAATTTTTCAACAGTGTCCATCATTAACTCCAGGAAGAGTCATTACTGTCCTAACTAAACTCAGCCTGCAATATAAAATGATAAGATTCATAAGTAACCAAGTTATATTATAACAGTGCATAAATCGATTAACATCTGGTGAATAATTCACTGCATGGATGTGGTCATGTAATATTTTGGTTCAAACAATGTTGTATTTTATGAATTACTACTGTAAATTACTCTCATTCATTTGTTAATCAATCAGCAAAACTATTTGAAAATGCTCTATCCGATTTCAGAATTCAGTTAAAAATGTTACGCTGTTTCTATTGTGGGTTTTCATCAGTGTCTACTTATTGTGTCATTTTGAAACCTCAAGTAGTAATTAAAAAGCCTATTAAATAGTTATAAGCATTCTGAATATAAGTAACCAAACACATCAAGAACATATTTTATGAACACTTTCGACGAATTGTTTTAGGTTATATTTATCACAGATTCATCTCAATTAAGATAACATTGGATATCATCGAGCACTAGACAGCTGCTTCGCTTCAGTTTGGAACTTCTTGGTAGTAGGAACATAAAACAACATTAAAAGCTGGACTGAAGACATTCTACCTTCATGGTGAACGCTTCGCCATTAGAGCCACCGGGTAGCCACACAATGGTATAACTTCAACTTCAATCAGTTCACAATGTAGTGTAACGATAATCGAATACCATTGGTAACAAGTGTTTTAATGCTGAAATATATAAACTCCATTAGTCACGACGTCGCAATAGAATTTCAGAAACCTCTCGAAGTAAAACACTAATGGTCTGACTATTATAGTTTAATAGGAGTTTCGTGAAGTTTGGCTTAATTCGTAGGCTTTATTCAGTGCATACTGATATAATTTAAAAGTATCATGGAAAACCGGAGAGAAGTAAACAGCTAATTTGTCTCGGAATTGGATTCTTTAGAAGTGAGCTTAATCTCTCCATAATAATCTAAGCCATTTTCTTTAGTGAGCGGAATATTTCTTAATACAAATGTTGATGAATGGCGCTTCAAAAGATAAAAATAATCATTTAACTTTAACATTACTATGATTTAGCTAAAGAAAACTAATTATGAACATTGAATTGTGTTTAACTACTCAATCTAATAATTATGTACCTACCTAAGTCTT